AGCTCCACTTCCAGTTTTCTGAGTGGTTTATTGGAGATAGGAGTCTCATGGACTTTCCTGCCTGGGCTGACTTTGAACTGAGCATCCTCAGATCTCAGCCTCCTGAGTAGCTAGGATTACAGGTGTGAGCCACTGGTGCCCGGCCTCACATAGAACATTTAACTCATTGAGCATCACATAGCACTTAGATTAATGGAGAAGTTCTATTCTCTGGGAATATAAATCAACAATTTCAGCTACATTCTAAGGGGAAAGTGACAGTGGGAAAGAAAGGGAGGCTATTTCCGTCAGATGTTACAGTCAAAGAAAAAAAAAAAAAGCCAGCCACAGGAAGAATGGCCCAGGCCCAAAGCCCAGGCCCTGAGTGTGGCCGGGGTGGTGAAGGCTGCTCTCTGGGTGGTGAAGGCTGCTCTCTGGAGCTCGGTCTGTGTCTTGTCAGCACTCTTCCATTTCTGGGTTAAGGGGCTCAAGCTTCTCAGACACGGCTTAGGCAACACATCTCCTAAACCCCAAGGCTAAGAAGATTTGGAACTGGGAAGGGTGGAGACAGAGGAAGAGAGACACTTCCGGAAGCAGGACCTGGGGCGCAGTGACACCCAGACTCGGCAGCCTCTCCCTTCCACTGTTTTGGTCTGGTTGGCTGGAAGAAAGCTGAGCAGCAGGGACCCCCCACAGTCAGCTCTGAAGACAGGTTACTGCCTCCGTGTATCTCATAGTGAAAAATAACCTCCAAAAGGTAAGAGTGAACTTTCTGAGCCTGGAGCTCAGAACTTGTTGAGACTAAAAGAGTATTCCCACCTCCCCGCCCCTCCCCCCCCCCCCCCCCCCCAGGAAATTCAGACAGATTTGGTTGGGACAGAAGTCAGGGTATACCTCATTCACCAAGAGAGGGTCTTTGTGGGGTTTCAGTCATAAAATCTAAGTAATCGATCCTCATCTATTTATTGGACTCAAAAGAAGTGGTAATGCTGCCCCAGTAAAACCAGCTCCGTGGGAGGCAGAAATCAGAGGGTTACAGTTTGAGACCAGCCCTAACAAAACGATGAGATTATTTTGAAAAACAAGCCAAGTGTAGTGGACCTACTTGTAATCCAGTTACATGGGAGGTGGAAGAAGAAGGATCAGGAACAGAGTCCTACCTAGAGAGCCCCTGACTTGAAAAATTAAATAGTTGGGAACCAGTGGCTCATGCCTGTAATCCTTGTTACTCAGGAGGCCTGAGATCTAAGGATCATGGTTTAAAGCCAGTCTGGGCACAAAAGTCATTGAGACTCTTCTTATCTCCAATTGATCACCAGAAAACCAGAAGTGACCCTGTGGTTCAAAGTGATAGAGAATTAGCCTTGAGCTGAAGAGCACAGGGACCATGTCCAGGTCCTGAGTTCGAGCACCACAACCAACAAAAAAATTAATTAAATAAATAAAACAATAGGTTTGAGGTATGACTCAAATAGTATAGCAAGGCCCCAGCTTCAATTCTCAGTACCAAGGGAAAAATATGATCATATCTGGAAGTATAGATGGTTCTAGTCAAATTCCCCTAATGTGGTGCAGGAGAGCTGGTCACCAGAGAAGAAGGTTCAGGGGGAGAGTCACCCCTGGACTTGCAGCTGGGCAGATGTTACAAAAGACAAGAGTTTGCCCATTGTCCATATCATGCACTTTTTACTTTTGAAAAGGTTTTCTCTTTGTGTGTATGTGTGCTGGTACTGGGGCTTGAACTGGGCCTGGGGACTGTCCCTTAGCTTTTTACTCAAAGCTGGTACTCTACCCCTTGAGCTTTTTGCTGGTTGGCTAGAAGTAAGTCTCAAAGATTTTTCTGCTGGCTTTGAGCTTTGATCCTCAGATCTCAGCTTCCTCGGTGACTAAGATTGAGCCACTGATACCTGGTTTTAAGGTTTTTGTGTTAATAACTATTTTATTATCCCTTTCCATTCACATTTCTAGTGACTTCTGATACATTCTCTGCTAGTCTGTGGGTGACTTCACTTTACTTCATTATCTTCTCTTAAACAGCCATATGTAAACCTATTTGGTGATAGCCATCTCTAATTTTTTCTTCATATAAACCTTTTGGAAAACTATCATTTATTGCTTTTTGTATGATAAAAGTTAAAGTTAGACAAAAGTTTTATGGTTCATGTCAGATATCACATCCTCACTTTAGGGCGTCAACAACTTTTTATTGGGGGGAGGGGTGTCAAAAAAGCACCTTATCCTGACGTCACTTTGGGATACATCATCATAAGAAATGAAGTAGTTACTCTAGGTTGAGATCCAAGGATCCCAGTTCAAAGCCAGCCTGGGCAGAAAAGTTCATCATAAGACTCTTATCTCTTATAAACTACCAAAAAGCCAGAAGTAGAACTGTGGCTCAAGGGGTAGAATGTCAATCTTGACCAAAAAAAGTTAAGGGACAGCACCCAAGCCCTGAGTTCAAGCACCAGTACCAGTGCGTGTGTGCGCGCGCACACACACACACACACACACACAAATGAAGTGGCAGAAAACAAAACAGGATTTCCTCAATCACAACACTTGAACAAATGACTATATCCACCTACATTGAAACACTGGGTCATTTATTTATTCAAAACAAGTGAACTGGGTTGGAGGTATGGTTTAGTTGGCAGAGCACTAGCTAATGAGTGAAAGCTTCAGGTACCAAGTTCAAATCCCAGCCTTGCACATAGAGAGACAGAGAGAGACAGAGATAGAGACAGAGAGAGAGATAGAGACAGAGAGAGAGAGAGAGACAGAGAGAGAGATAGAGACAGAGAGAGAGAGAGAGAGAGAACTAAATAGTATAAGTAAGGCAAGTCTTTTTTACTTTTGATATACAAAGGAAAGGGTAAGTAATATTTTTCACAAAACCAAATACCATAACCTTCAAAAAGTTGAGAGACAATCTTCTTTCCTTCCTTCTTTTTTTTTTTTCTAGTACTTTGGAAATTGAGTCCACAATCTGAGTCATACCTGCCAAGACCTTTTGTTTGTTTGCTTGCTTGCTTGCTTCTTTTGTCAGTCCAGGCTTGAACTCAGGGTCTGGGCACTGTCTGGAAGCTTCTTTGTGCTCCAGGCTACCTGTCTACCACTTGAGCTACAGCTCTACTTCCAGCTTTTTCTGAGTAATATATTGGAGATAAGAGTCTCACAGACTTTCCTACCTCAGCTGGCTTTGAACTTTGATGCTCAGATGTCAGCCTCCTGAGAAACTAGGATTACAAGTATGAGCCACTGGCACCTGGCTTTATTTTGTTTTTGAGATAGGGTGTTGGTAACTTTGCCAGACTGGCGATTCTTCTGGCTCCACCTCCTGAGTATTTGGGATTACAGACATGTACTACCATATACTTGGATTGGAATTTCACTTGTAATGTTAAGTCAGTATCTCTACTCTCATATTGCTCTCTGAAGAAGAGCTGCAGAAACATCTTGGTTGTATAAATATAAATATGGTCAAAAGTTTATTCTATAAATTTCCACTGGATCCCTACTCTGTGTCAGTCAGGGTGATAGATCCTGGGGACACAGTGATAAATCTTTCTTACTCCCCTCTGAAGGTCGCACAGTGAATGATAGCGTGACAAGATATTAAATAATGAGGGGCTGGGAAGGTGGCTCAGTGGTAGAGTGCTTGCCTTGCATGCATGAGGCCCTGGGTTCGATTCCTCAGCACCACATAAGCAAAAAGAAAAAAGCCAGAAGTGGCGCTGTGGCTCAAGTGGTAGAGCGCTAGCCTTGAGCTGAAGAGCTGAGGGACAGCGCCCAGGCCCAGAGTTCAGGCCCCACGACCGGACCCCCCCCCCCAAAAAAAAGATATTAAATAATGATTTAGCATTCCATGACGGAGATGTGAGGGGTCTTCAGAGCTCAGAGAGAGGCAGGCCAAACTGTCTAAAGGAAGAGTAATGTCAGCAGGTGAAGAGCAGGGGGTTAGCAAGAGCAAGTCCTAGGTAAGAGCAGGCTGGAAGGTCGTGATAGTGAAAGAACCAGACAAAGAAGAGAAGTGAGATGAGGCCTTGAAGGTGGATTCTGTGTGTGGGGGTACAGGGAGTGTGAGACTCTCTGTGAAGGTTCTAGAACCTCACTGAATATACAGGGCTGGAGTCCAGGGACATCTGGACAACAGCTTGACAGGTTTTTTGTTTGTTTTTTGTTGGTCATGGGGCTTGAATTCTGGGCCTGGGTGCTGTCCCTCAGCTCTTCAGCTCAAGGCAAGAGCTCTACCACTTGAGTCACAGCGCCACTTCTGGATTTCTGTTTTTTTTTGTTTTTTTTTTTTTTTTTTTGTTTTTTGTTTTTTTGGTTTTTTTTTTTTGTCCAGTTGTGGGGCCTGAACTCTGGGCTTGGGTGCTGTCCCTCAGCTCTTCAGCTCAAGGCTAGCACTCTACCACTTGAGCCACAGCACCACTTCTGGCTTTTTTCTTTTTGCTTATGTGGTGCTGAGGAATCGAACCCAGGGCCTCATGCTTGCAAGGCAAGCACTCTACCACTGAGCCACCTTCCCAGCCCACTTCTGGATTTCTGGTAAGAGTCTCACGGACTTTCCTGCCCAGGCTGGTCTTGAACTGTGATCCTCAGATCTCAGCCTCCTCAGTAGCTAGGATTACAACCACTGGTGCCCGGTGCTTGACAGGTTTTGATTGACAGTGAGGATGGCAAGGATGGTTTGAGAGTAGCTAAGGTGAACATATGCAGTAAGAGGTGATCAAAGGAATTGCTTTGAAAATGCAAAAAATGGCCAGTATGTGTCTACACTGCAAAGGATGTTTCCCACAGAATACAGTATGGGATGGGATGTCAAGCGAAGGAGTTCCAAGGAGCAGTGTCTTGTACATGGACCTGGGGAGGTAGGGCATATTCTCATGCAATTCATTTGAAATTCAGCTCCATGTGAACTAATACTCTGCCTGTTTCTCACATGACAGATCCCCCTTTTGTTGCTGAACCACTCACTGTCTACCCACGATTCCACCTGCGTCCTGTAGAATAGAAGGATGGGAAGCAGCGCCTCTACCCAACACCATTTTGCTTTTCAGAATGCAGAGAAAGGTATGTGTTTCCCACCAGATGCACCAGCTGTGGGCCCCCAGGGTCCAGTGGCACAGGCAGGACTTTCTAGGGGAGAGGCAGAAAACCATAGCACAAGATGAGGGGTGATAGAGGAAGCCAGGCTGGCTGCTGACCCTTTGGCAAGTGTCCTTGAGAAGGTTTTTGTAGGAAGCACAGATGGCCGGTGTTATACAGCACATGGTCTAGGTTCAAATCCTGGCTCCAGTGGTGAGATCCTTCTATTGCTTTCTTACTTTTACACCTACAGAAATAATAATACCTCCCCTCACACATTTGTTAGTAAATGAGTGTTTAGAACCATGTGTGGCTCATAGTAAGCTTCCCAATTAAGTATCAGTTGCCATTAGAACCAAAATTTGGAGGCAGTTTGGAGCTAATAAGGTAAGCGATTGGAGAATTACCTGAGCGTGGGAATAAAGGGGCACTCATACGCTGTGGTAAGACTGCTGAGATTGGGTGTCTCAGGGGAGGTGGGTAGGACATTTTTTATTGTTATTATAAAGGTAATTACAGAGGGGTTACAGTTCCCTAAGTCAGATAAAGAATACGTTTCTTTTTGGACAATATCACTGATGGGGATTTTTTTCTTTCTTTTTTTTTTTTGTTGGTCATGGGGCTTGAACTCTGGGCATGGGTGCTGTCCTGCAGCTATTCAGCTCAAGGCGAGCGCTCTACCACTTGAGCCACAGCGCCACTTCCAGTTTTCTAGTGGTTTATTGGCGATAGGAGGGAGTCTCACGGTCTTTCCTGCCTGGGCTGGCTTTGAACCATGATCCTCAGATCTCAGCCTCCTGATTAGCTAGGATTACAGGCGTGAGCCACCGGCGTCCAGCTTGATGGAGATTTTTTTAACTTGGCAGTACTAGGGTTGAACCAGGGGCCCAGGCTTGCCAGGCAGTACTGTACCACTTAAGCCACAACCCAGACCTTTTGCTTTACCTCTGCTGGACTGGTACTGAGTTCTTTCTACCATCTCTCAAGTAGCTGAGCTTACAGGTGTGAACCACCATCCTCAGCCCCATAAAGAGGCCTTTATACCCTTGAAAGGTTTTTTGTTTTTGTTTTTTTGTTTTGCTTGTTTGTTTTTGTCGTGGGGCTTGAACTCTGGGCTTGGGCACTGTCCCTGAACTCTTCAGCTCAAGGCAAGTGCTCTACCACTTGAGCCACGGTGCCACTTCCGGTTTTCTACTGGTTTATTGGAGATAAGAGTCTCAGGGAGTTTCCTGCCCGGACTGGCTTTGAACCATGATCCTCAGATCTCAGCCTCCTGAGTAGCGAGGATTATAGGCATGAGCCACCGGCGCCTGGCTTGAAGTATTGTTCTAAGAGTCAAAGCAAACAAAAAAATAAAACCAGAAAACAATTCCAAACAGAATTTTTGAAAACTGGCTAGAAACAGCCAGTTTTCCAAAGGAGAAAATCTGGAGCATAGCATAAGTCCTGATGGTCAGTGTTCACATCAGAAATCTTGGCTCCAGCCTGCTCTAAAAGTCCATGAGGCCCAGCACTAGTAGCTCACTCCTGTAATCCTAGCTACTCAGGAGGCTGAGATCTGAGGATCACAGTTCAAAGACAGCCTTGGCAGGAAAGTCCATAAGACTTTTTTTTTTTTTTTGGGGGGGGTGGGGGGTCCGGTTGTGGGCCTGAACTCTGGGCCTGGGCGCTGTCCCTCAGCTATTCAGCTCAAGGCTAGCACTCTACCACTTGAGCCCAGCACCACTTCCGGCTTTTTGCTTATGTGGTGCTGGGGAATCGAACCCAGGGCCTCATGCATGCAAGGCAAGCACTCTACCACTGAGCCACCTTCCCAGCCCCGTAAGACTCTTATATCCAATTAACCACCAGAAAACTGTAGGTCAAGTGGTAGACTGCTTGCCTTGAGCTGAAGAGCTCAGGGTCAGCCCCCAGGCCCAGTGTTCAAGCCCCACAATTGACCAAAAAGAAAAGTCCATGAGGCTCTTATACCTAAATAAACTACCAAAAAAAAAAAAGCCAGAAGTAGAGCTATAGCTCAAGTGGCAGAGTGCTAGCCTCGAGGAACAAAAGCTCAGGAAAAACATCTAGGCCCTGAGTTCAAATCCCAGGATTGGCAAAAAAGAAAAAGTAAAGAAGAAATACAGATATTAATTTCCCCATCACCCTTTGATATTGTGAATCTTCCGTGAAGCACCATACACAGCAGAGCTTTAGAACTATGACATGACTGTTGCCTGAAAGTTGTCATTTTCACTGTCATTTGTAGGGCTGTGGGGAGCTGAAACTCTGAGATAGACTCTTCCTCTCCCTCATCCTCCTGGGCATCCATCCTAGCCCTTCATCTATCACGTGGGTAGCTGAAAGAAACTGAGAAAGACTCTTCCTCCCCCTCATCCTCCTGGGCATCTATCCTAACCCTTCATTTATTACGTGGCCACATGAGCAAGTCTGATACTCAGCCTACAGGTCACCGGATAAAGAGAAGGGAACAGTTTGTACTTTGGAAATGATTAAGAGTCTCAAGATGGGCTGGGAAGGTGGCTCAGTGGTAGAGCGCTTGCCTTGCATGCTCGAGGCCCTGGGTTCAATTCCTCAGCACCACATAAGCAAAAAGAAAAAAGCCAGAAGTGGTGCTGTGGCTCAAGTGGTAGAGCACTAGCCTTGAGCTGAAGAGCTGAGGGACAGCGCCCAGGCCCAGAATTCAGTCTCCACGACCGGACCAAAAAAAAAAAAGAGTCTCAAGATGCATTGTATTCAACTGCTTTGTTGAATGGCAAATGCAACTTATTTGTACAACTACTTAAAGGTAATAAAAAAAGGAAAAGAATCAAAACACCTTTGGTTGAAAAAAAGGTGTCTTTTTAAAGGTAATCTCAGTTGCTCAAAGCTCATTTCTGCCATCATAGCTACTTAGGAGGCAGAGACAGAGAGAACAGAAGCTTGGGACCTGCCCATGTAAAGAAGTAATGAGATTTACATCAACCAACAAGCTGGATACAGTGTCACCTATGTCTGCCATCCTACCTACATGGGAGGCCTTGCTGTCCCAGGCTGGCCCTGGACACAAGCATGAGACCCTATCTGCAGCAAAACATGGCTGGGGGCATGACTCAAGTGATAGATTACCTGCTGGGCACACACGTGTGTGTGTGTGTATGTGTGTGTGTGCGTGCGCGCGCACGTATGTGTGCGTGCATGCATGTGTGTGTGTGAGCGCGCACGTATGTGTGCGTGCATGTGTGTGTGCGCGCACGTATGTGTGCGTGCATGTGTGTGTGTGTGTGTGTGTGTGTGTGTGTGTGTGTGTGTGTGTATCAAACCTGAGCCTTATACATGCTAGAGAAGCACCCTACCACTGAGCCATCCCCCCAGGATTTCCTTCTTAATCCAGCTTATCCAAAAATAGTCCATTCATCACCAGCATCATGTCTAGACCCAGGGGCTTAAGAATACTCTAGTTACTTATGAGGACAGCTATTCCCTTCTCTGCCACCAACACTTGACCAGAGGTCCTTAACCTCACATGAGGAATCAACACCCTGCACGCTCCACACTTGCTTACTTGGTCAGCTAGCACCTAGAAGCAAAAGAAGGCTGGACTCGTGTTAATGGGGATTTATAAACCCACAGTTGTCTCACAGAATCAGGGATAATAAGCACAGAGCTGGGAAAGCCTCATTACCACTGACACTGGATGACATATTGAATAAATCTTGAATTTCTTGTTTGTTCTTCCCAATCTTCACTTAGTCCAGCCTTCTCCCAGGTGAAGACATAAAGGTACCAGGTGACTTGCCTGAGGCTGCATAGCTTGGCAGGGCAGTTCACATTAGCATCCAGACCTCCTGGCTTTTGTCTTTGGTGGTTGTTGTTGTTGGTCATCTGGCTTGAACTCTGGGCCTGGGTGCTGTCCCTGAGCTCTTCAGCTCAAGGCTAGTGCTTTACTACTTGAGCCACAGCACCACTTCCAGTTTTTTGGTGGTTAATTGGAGATAAAGAGTCTCACTGAGGGCTGGGAAGGTGGCTTAGTGGTAGAGTGCTTGTCTTGCATGCGTGAGGCCCTGGGTTCGATTCCTCAGCACCACATAAGCAAAAAGAAAAAAGCCGGAAGTGGCGCTGTGGCTCAAGTGGTAGAGCACTAGCCTTGAGCTGAAGAGCTGAGGGAAAGTGCCCAGGCCCAGAGTTCAGGCCCCATGACTGGACCCCCCCCAAAAAAAAAAAAAAGAGTCTCACTGAATTTCCTGCCTGGGCTGGCTTTGAACCACGATCCTCAGATCTCAGCCTCTTGAGTAGTTAGGATTATAGACATAAGCCACTGTCACCTGGCTTGTCTATTGTCACAATGTCAAAATACTCGCTCCCCACCACATTTTTCCTGCCCTTCAAGCATGTCAAATCCTTGTGGTCCTTCCAGTTTACATCTCCTTCCCAGAATCTGCAGAGCCAGCCCTGCCATGTGTGGGTGGCCATTCTCCTTTCTCTGTACCTGTTTCCCATGATTTCAGTTCCCCACCGAAAACCACAATCTGAAACTATGCAGTAGGAAGTCCCAGAAATAAACAATTGATACATTTCTTTTCTTTTTTTGGGGGCGGGTGGTCCGGTCGTGGGGCCTGATCTCTGGGCCTGGATGCTGTCCCTCAGCTCTTCAGCTCAAGGCTAGTGCTCTACCACTTGAGCCACAACGCCACTTCCGGCTTTTTTCTTTTTGCTTATGTGGTGCTGAGGAATCGAACCCAGGGCCTCATGCTTGCAAGGCAAGCACTCTACCACTGAGCCACCTTCCCAGCCCCATCATCCTTTTAATCATACATATATATAGCCAGTCCTGAGGCTCGAACTCAGGGTCTGGGTACTGTCTCTTAGCTTCTTTTGCTCAAGGCTAGCACTCAACCACTTGAGCCACAGAGTCACTTCTGATTTTTCTGTTTGTGTGGTACAAAGGAATCCAACCCAATGCTTCATGAATGCTAGGCAAGCACTCTACCTCTAAACCACATTTTTTCTGTAACCCCTATAAATATGCTAATAAAAATTATAGTTAGGGCCAGGCACCAGTGGCTCATGCCTGTAATCCTAGCTACGCAAGAGGCTAAGCGCTAAAGACTGAAGTTCAAAGCCAGCCCAGGCAGGAAAGTCCAGCAAGACTCTTATCTCCAATTAACCACCAGAAAACTGGAAGTGGAGTTTAAGCCCAGAGTTCAAGCCCCACAACCGAAAAAAAAAAAATTATAGGTAGGGATGGGGAGGTGGTTTAGTGGTAGAGTGCTTGCCTAGAATGCATGAAGCACTGAGTTCAATTCCTCAGTACCACATAAACAGAAAATGCTGGAAGTAGCGCTATAGCTCAAATGGTAGAGTGCTAGCTTTGAGCAAAAGAAGCTCAGGGACAGCGCCCAGACCCTGAGTCCAAGCCCCAAGAATTCTATTGTGTGTGTGTGTGTGTGTGTGTGTGTGTGTGTGTGTGTGTGTGTGTGTCACATTTTCTTTCTTTTTTTTTGGTTGGTTGTGGGGCCTGAACTCTGGTCCTGGGTGCTGTCCCTCAGCTCTTCAGCTCAAGGCTAGTGCTCTACCACTTGAGCCACAGTGCCACTTCTGTTTTTTTCTGCTTATGTGGTGCTGAGGAATCGAACCCAGGGCCTCATGCATGCAAGGCAAGCGCTCTACCACTGAGCCACCTTCCCAGCCCCAAATGATACATTTCTGAGTAGGATGATGAGCCCTCTCCCAGTTCAGCTCCATTTCACCCAGAACTTGAGCCATCTCTTTGGCCCAAGTATCCATGCTGTATATACTACCACACCCATTCATCAAGTTCATCACCCATGTCAACACAGTTATCAGATCAACTGTTGAAGTCATTCAGTACTTAGTTTCAAACACCCCAAAGCCTGGCAATGCAGACACGACAAAGAGAAGCTATACAGTGTTCTTCTTTATATGAAATTTCTTGCCTTACAAATGCACAGAATGTATAGGATTGGGAATGAGCCATGGTTTCAGAAGTCTACCGCAGGTCTGAGAGTGTATCCCTTCAGAAAGATTGTGGTGAAGAGGAGTCTGTAGTGCATGCAAACGATTTTATCTGTAAATGGGGATCCAGTCGCTCCAGTGATATTAGTGTAACCATCAAGAATGCCAGAATGAGCTGGCATGGTGGCTATGCCAGTAATCCAAGCTACTCAGAAGGCTAGGATCTGAGGATCCAGATTCAAAGCCAGCCTGAGCAGCAAAGTCCATGCTTAATCTCCAATTAAGCAGCAAAGAAAACTGGAAGTGGATCTGTGGCTCTAGTGGTAGAGCACTAGCCCTGAGCAAAAAAGCTCAGGGACAGTGCCCAGGCCATCAATGGGTAGCTCAGTCTCTGCCATCCTGTCCACTCATGGACAGTAGGAGAGGGTCTGGGTCTTCCCCCTAAATCAGGGAGTCCCAGCTCACAGGCTTGCATCTTGGTGTCACAGCTTTCAAGGCGGCGGCCCTGATCCAGAGATGGTACCGGCGCTATGTGGCCCGCCTGGAGATGAGGCGACGATGTACCTGGAGCATCTTCCAGTCAATCGAGTATGCCGGCCAGCAGGACCAGGTCAAGGTGCGTTGGGATGAGGGCAGGGTGGCCTGCCAGTCTGCCTTCCAGGCCTTGAGCAGCAAGGCCCAGATGCTCAGAAGGAGTAACCAGTCTGGTGCACTCTTGGATTCTCTTTTCCCTAATTTCTAACATCCACCTCATCTGGTTATTCTGCAGCTCCATGATTTCTTCAGCTATCTCATAGATCACTTCACTCCAAGCAGCCACAACGAGAGTAAGTGTGAACTACCCTATGCTTTGTGCTCCTCCTTCTCAGGGTCATGGCCTTCAGGGCAGGAAGTGGGGCAGGAAGTGCACAGGGAGGAAGACCCTAAAATGAAAGCTGGGAATGAAGGAGGGAGGTGACCAGGAACCAAATGGAATTTTATTCTAGGTTCTCCTAAAATCATACCTGGAGACAAGTGTTCTCGTGCAATGTGTTTATTTATCAGCTGCAAGAAACATAGTGGGGGAGGGGGAGTGAGTAGGGAAGGATTCAGGAAAGCGGGCTGAGGCAGCCAGGGAAGGATGGAGTACTAAGCCAACATGGGGGGGGGGGGGGGCAGAGTGCACTGCATAAACCCAAGGATGATCCCTCCTGCAGGCAGAGGGAACTGGAGTCTTCTGGGGGGGGGGGGGGGAAGGGGATGGTAGTGGAAGGATGCTTGTACTGGGACTTGAACTCAGGGCCAGAGTGCTATCCTTTTTTTTTGTTCAAGGCTACACTCTACCACTTGATCACATCCCCTCAGCGGGCTGTTTGCTGGTTAAAGATAAGAGTCTCAAAGACTTTCCTGCCCAGGCTGGCTTCCAATTGTAATCCTCAGATCTCAGCCTCCTGAGTAGTCAGTATTACAGGCCTGAGCCACCAACATCTGGAGTCTTCAAGTTAGCTGAGCAGTCATTGGTTGAAAGCTACTGGGAGGGAAGGGCCAGAAGTTGTAGTTTTTTAGTCTTTCTGGTCTGTGCTTAGGGCCCTCTTCAGTCTACAGAGGAAGACCAAGGGTTAGGCAGGCAGTAAGAGGTTGGTATAGGGCTCTGAGTGTTCTAAGCCTCTGCACTCATTGAGCTCACTGTGAACACCTGTAAACCCTTCCCTCCTTGACTTTGAGTTTACCTCTTGCCTATGAACCCATACCTCTACTTTCTGTCCTTTCTCAGTGAGATTAAAAGGATCCATCACATTCATCCCAGGAGACCACGCAGAGGCAGGCAGGCACAGGAGAAAGACTATTACAAGGTTTATTAGAGGGGCCATATCTCCCCCAAGAGGGAAGACATGGCACCTGTTCCTATCCAGGTACCAGGGGAGTCTGGGGGGAGGAAGTGAGGTAGATGGGAGTTCAGGTGGGTCTGGGTGGAGAGAGGGAGGGGCCAGCTGTATGGCCGGAACTCCAGGGCAGGGAGGAGCTCAGGTCTGGGTGGAGCTGAGGACCAAAGGTGGGCATAATGCTTACATTCATTCCCAGCTCTGTTGTTTAATAAAAATAGAAGGTACCAGGACAGGGGGTATGGACAGAGGTCATTTTTTCTGGAGCTACTTCCTTCTCTAAAGGGGCGAAGTAGTCAGGGGTCTCTACGTTGCTCGGCCGGGTACCGTCCAAGAAGCATCTGCTTGAGTGTTTGGTTAGTAAAGGTCCTCCTTTTTCCATGACAGTAGTTATCAGAGCCAAGGATGTCAAGGGCTCTTTTGGCTACTTCCTGCTGGCCTAGGAGCATCAAGGAATCCCTGGAGCTTGGTCTTTAGGGTCCAGGTCTGCACTGGTGAGGGCAGGGCAGTGTAAGTGATGTCTTTGGTTGCCTGTAGTAATAGGATGGCCTGGACTTGTTCCCAGGTGGTATCCTGGGCAGGGGAGGTTATCCTGTTGAAAGAGACTTTTGGAAAGATCAGGCAAAAAGCTGACCAGGTGACAAGGTCAGTTAACATGAATGACATAGGAGATCACACATTGGCCATGGTCTGGAAAAGTTCCATTTGGAGCATAAGCCCAATTGCAGCCCATTACAGGGAAGGAGGAATACTTGGGGCAGAAAGGCAGAAAAGGGGTGTCAAGGGTCTTTTGCGCAACTGGGTAGGGAGAGCACAATAGACTGGGTGGGAGTACAAGTCAGAGGCTACTATAAATACAAATAGCAGGTAACAAAGGCGAGACTGTTAACTTTCTGTCCAGTTAGAAGGTAGACAGCTATGGACTTTAGGTGCACAAGCAACTATTTCTGTTGCTCTCCCGGCTCTGATTAATTTTGAAAGTGACTCCATTTAGGATATCATCTCCTCTATCTCCTCTCCATGGTTTTCCAGTGTCAGGACTGACTTTGTCCTGGGGGTGTCTCAGAGTCTATTGCTGGGATAGTTGGTCCTGTTATACCAAAATTCGAGGACCCCCAGAAGACCACCAGAGACCACGATCAATGTAAGCAACAAAGAGCTGGTTTATTGCAAGCTCGAGCTTGGTCCTCTGCATGCACAGTAACCGGTGACGCTAAGAGGTCCTGAGCATAGAATCAGCCCAGTTTTTATAGTATTGAACAAACTACTTTAAGGAACTTTTACATAAGAACTTACATGATTGGTTAACATTTAAAGCAAGCTAAGCTGGGCAAATATGATTGGTTGACCTTTACAGAAAAATGTCGTTGGTCCATAGCTTGACCAAAATCGGTTACAAGTCACACCTGGACCAACAGAATGCATGGCATGTCTCGCCCTGGGCTCTGAAGAACCGGTTGGTCAGAAATTCTTAGTCCTAGGTGGCTGGGGGGCAACACCACTTGGGGGCTAACACCTGCCTTAAGCAAACGCCATCTATGGCTCCAAGAATTGTGCATGGCTTTCTGTCATAAATTCCTAGCATTAGGGCTAAAGTGGGTCACGAGTCAAGTCGCAGACTGAGATGGAGTGTTAAACAAAAATGGAGTTGCTTAGGTTTCTCAAAACATTATATTTCTTTCCTAGGGCCTTACTGCCCTGGCCTCCGGGAAGGGCGTTGCAGCTGTGGGGATAATTCTGAGGACTTTGCGCCCTTGGTCAGGGCTGTAAACCCTTTGAAGTTTTTTTGTTGTTGTTGTTGGTTGTGGGCCTGAACTCTGGGCCTGGGCGCTGTCCCTCAGCTCTTCAGCTCAAGGCTAGCGCTCTACCACTTGAGTCACAGCACCACTTCTGGCTTTTTTCTTTTTGCTTATGTGGTGCTGAGGAATCGAACCCAGGGCCTCATGCATGCAAGGCAAGTGCTCTACCACTGAGCCACCTTCCCAGCCAACTCTAGGCTCCCAGGCTGACATTCCACTACTGAGTAACTAAAACCAGTCACAGTTAAAATCATACAAAAACCATAAAATCATCTAGCACAAAGCAATTCGTACAGAAGCAAAAATGAACGATTAGTAATCGTAACTTCTAATTTCTATTACATTAAGCGTTAATGTTACTCCGTGCCTTTTAATAAATTCATTCAGGGGGTGCTTGCCTACTTTGATGAGGGCAGTCCAGTTTTCTGCCTCTTTCACTCCACTCCTCAAGGTTTTAGCAGAGTTTTTAGCAAGCAAAGGTACAGAAGCGAAAATGGCTGTTAGGTGCTGTCTATATATTTTTATGTTCTTCAGTCCCAGTTGGCAGTTACTGGGTTTGGACTCAAGGGCACTGTCCCTGAGCACTTCTGCTTGAGGCTAGTGTTCTACCAATTAAGAGTCACAATGCCACTTTTAGCCTTCAGCTGGATACTTAGATCTGAGTCTTGAGCCATGCCTCCAGCCTGGCTCTGTGCTGATTAGCTGGGAGATGGAGTTTTGGAGGGATTTTTTGTGCCCAGGTTGGTTTTGAACGGTGGCAACTAGGAGTCTTTGTCACAAAAGCCCTTTTTATTTCCAATTAAAGCAAGGAGGAGATCAATGAGATAGAGCTTACCTACAACTTGTTAACAATTGACTAACAATTACTTGCCAGAGTTTTTTGAGAGCTTGTTTGGAGGTTCTAGCAGGGGAGCGCAGCTACTCGTAAAGACCGGTCCTCCTCTATCGGGGATGGTCGTCGGGAGGGATGCACATGGAGCGGTGAGGGAGGAAGGGGACACCCGCCTAGCCAGCCAGATCAGCCGAATCAACCCTGGCGATCAATGGGGTGACAGATGTCGCAGCCAGATCGCCCTCACATCCGCCAGAGTTTTTTGAAACCATCTTTTTAAACTCTGTTCTCAAGCCCCATTGAAACTTCCTGTTTTAGCCAGGCGCCAGTGGCTCACGCCTGTAATCCTAGCTATTAAGGAGGCTGAGATCTAAGGAGCATGGTTCAAAGCCACCCCACTGGAAAGCCGGAGACTCTAATCTCCAATAAACCACCAGAAAACCAAAAGTGGCACTGTGGCTCAAGTGGTAGAGTACTAGCCTTGAGTTGAAGAGCTGAGAGACAGCACCCAGGTCCAGAGTTCAAGCACCATGACAGAACAAAACAAAAAACAAAAACCTGCCTGTTTTACTTTAGCTTGTAGTCAGTGTAAAGCCGAATTCAGAAATCCTTACCCAAAAGACCACCAGAGATCGTCACCAGTGTAAAAGCAAAGGAGTCTTTATTGCAAGCTCGAGCTTGGTCCCCTCAGATGGACGTAGCAGCAACCGATGACGCTGAGAGGCCCCGAGCCCAGGGTTACAGCACCTTTTACACACTTTTTAGGGAAGGGAGGGACTTTGCATACATCATAGCATCTCATAACAAACCACTACACACCGTGGGAAAATCATAAAAATTCTCTCTAGTGTGATTAGTGCACTACAAAGCAGGAAAGGACCAGAAACAGGTTGTTGGTTAGATCAAGGGGGCTGATGTACTTTAAACTGGTTGGCTTGCACCAAAGGGGATCTTCAAGAGGATAGGTGCTAAACTGCAGAGTGTTGGGTTTAGATAATGGTCTCCAGACCCCAGGAGGGGCTGTTCTGGAATTTCAGATATCTGGACATCCTGGCATCTAGGGTTTCCAGGATTGTCTGTGGCTGGAATAGGTCAAGGATTAAGTTGCAGAACTGAGATGGGGTCTTAAGTAAAATGGAGTTGCTTAGGTTCCTCAGTCAGGTCTCAAAATTCTTAAATCAAATTAGATTAAATCAAATTAGATTAAATCTTTTTTTGGAGGGGGGGGGGGTCCAGTCGTGGGGCCTGAACTCTGGGGCGTGGGCGCTGTCCCTCAGCTCTTCAGCTCAAGACTAGCGCTCTACCACTTGAGCCACAGCGCCACTTCCGGCTTTTTTGTTTTTGCTTACGTGGTGCTGAGGAATCGAACCCAGGGCCTCATGCATACAAGGCAAGCGCTCTACCACTGAGCCACCTTCCCAGCCCCTAAATCACAGTTTCTACTGACAAAATATTTTTTTTGGTAAGCAGAATACTTGGTAACCTTGAAACCATAACCTTTTACATATTTTACCTATAGACAAATAGGCAGACAGACATGGTTGTGCATGCTGAGATTTTTAAATCAGCCGTTGAAAAAGTTTTTTGGAATTTTACCAGTATTACTTTGCCTAATTATGATGGAACCATGTGATCAGTGTAAAACACAAAACTTTGCCAACAACAAGAAACTTTTAGTCAACAAGAGACCAGACACTAACAGACATATGGCATGGCATAATGGTGCCTGTCTTGATCCGGTGGGCGGGGAGAGGGTCGCAGAATCAAGTTGAGTTGGCATGAAATCCGACTTGGTGAGAAACAGCGGCTGAGCTCCCACAATGCCAAGATGACATGTCTGCCAATGGTCAATGCTAGAGAGAGCTGAAGATGTTGACAGGGAGGGTGCAGCGCTTCTGTCCCATGTGGAGCTTCAGGTTCCATCCCCACTACAAAGGCAGAGGAGGGGTCCCCCAGAGGAAGAGGCCCCACGGGGGAGGGATCCTGCAGAGGAGGGGTCCGGCATAATACTAACAGGGACCTATCTTAAACTTTCCAAGTCAAGCTGGAACAGATCCCAGCTAGTTTTGAGTTTCCTCTTGCCAAGTCTTGTCTGTATTTATTTCCCTTTTCCTTCCCTCTCCTGGGCTGAAGCTGATGTCAGAATGTCCAGGTCCCACTCCACTACAGCCCAGATGTTACAACCCTCTAGTGCTCCTTAGGGTCTGGGGGTTAGGAAGTGAGGTAGATGGGAGATCAGGTGGGTCTGGATGGGCAGAGGGAGGGGCCAACAGGTCTGGGTGGAGCTGAGTACCAAAGGTGGGCATAATGCTTATCCAACAGGACTGTGGAACTGAGGTTTAGAGGACCAGGGGACCTGTAGCCTTCCACCAGCACCCAATCCCAAGGTTCCATTGGCCAAGGTTTTCATTGGTCTTGTGCAAGGAAGTAAGGTACAAACTTCATCAAGTGACAGTATTTGTATACAGGTGGTAGATGACCTTATTCCGGGAAGCCGAGCTGAGCAGTGACCAGCTGAGAACTTGCATAAACCTACCCCCAGGCTCCCACACAGTTGAAGGTGAAGTTAGTCCACACCCAGGATACAGTCAGAATTCCTGTTCAGCCAGGACTGATTGACCTTTCCCAGAAAACTCTCAGCAGTTTCGGGGGAAGGCCTTCCAAACTCCCAATCCTTTCAGGGTCTTACAGCTTGGATTTTTGGGCTCTCATACCAAGTAAGGCTGGGGACCAAAAGCTGACCTACTTCTCTGTGTGGACCAGGGGACTTGCTGAACCGCATGTTCACGGAGGAGAGAGTCCTCCAGGACTCAGAGATGGACAAATGCAGTGACTACAAGGCCATAGAAGTGCCAGACAGTTACGCAGGTCCGCACCTCTCCTTCCCACTCCTTCCGGACCATGCAACTGCACTGGTGGAAGCGTTCAGGCTGAAGCGAGTAAGTTTACCAATGCACTTCGTGGAGAGGAAGAATGGTCCTGGAATGAGGGTATTTGGGCCTTGCGTGGAACTAGAGAGGAGGGGCTCTCCAGCTGTGTTTTATGATGTGTGCATGTGAGGGGGAGGGGTAGGAAGTGTACTGGGGCTTGAACTCAGAGCCTGGGCATTCTCCTTAGCTTTTTCTCTCAAGGTGGATGATCTAACATTTAAGCCACAGCTCTCCTTTTTGTTTTTTTTCTGGTTAATGGGATAGGAGCGTCTCATGGACGACCCTTCCTGGGCTGGCTTTGAACCACAATCATCAGGTCTCAAGTCTCCTGAGCAACTAGGATTACAGGAGTGAATGACTGGTATACCTGGCAAAATCATGCAATATCTGTCTGTTTGCTCACCTGCAGGTAGCTAGTGGATGGGCATGGGGAATCAGCAGAGAACAAGAGCAACACAAATGGGCACCCTCCCATTTGGCAGACTTTCTAGTGGGGGAGACAGACAACAAATAATGACTGTTAAGTTTTTAAAAAGAGGTAGCCGAGTAAGAACTGCACCACGCACGTGGTATTCAGGTAAGGGGTAGGTTTATTCAGTAGACCTGCTGGGACCAGGCAAGGTTGGCACTCCACGCGGCTGGCAAAAGAGAGAGAGCTGGGAGAGAGAGAGAGGAAAGAGAGAGAAAAGAGGTAGAAAAGAGCAGACAGAGCAGACAGAGCAAGAAAAGGGGGGGGGAGGGAGAGAGAGAGAGAGAGAGAGAGAGAGAGAGAGAGAGAGAGAGAGAGAGAGAGAGAGAGAGAGAGAGAGAGAGAGAGAGAGCGCACGTGTGCGCGTCTGGTCCTGGGCTAGGCCTTATCTAGAGTATGGGCGGAGAAAGGTGTGGCCACATCAAATTCAGATGTGACCTCAGCGGATGTAGATGTGACCTCTTCCAGGTGTCCAAGTTGCCTAGGTAACGCAGGTTCTGGGTGGAGACTTTGCTGCAAGGAGGGTGGAGTCTGCTGGCCATCCAGGAGCGGACCTTACAATAACAATAAATAAAATCAGTGTATGGTGTATTAAATAATGATAAATTACAGAAAATAATCAATTTAAGGCTGGGGAAGTGGTAAATACTTGTAATGTCAGCACTGGGAGACTGAGCAGGACTGAAGTTAAAGGCCAGCCTGAGGGATACAGTGGGACTCTTTCAAATGTGGAATGGGGAATGGAATGAAGCTAAGTTTCTTTCTTTCTTATTTATTTATTTATGTTGGTTGTGGGGCCTGAACTCTGCCTCTCAGCTCTTCAGCTCAAGGTTAGCGTTCTACCCCTTGAGCCACAGCACTACTTCTGGCTTTTTCTGCTTATATGGTGCTGAAGAATCGAACCCAAGGGCTCTATGCATGCAAGGCAAGCACTCTACCACTGAGCCAGCAACTTTCTTAAATGGCCGGGAAGGTGATTTTTGAACAAAGGTCCAAGGATATTAAGAGCTACTGTTTGTGGGGAGCTAGGAATGGTCTAGGCAGAGAGAGCAAGTGGAAAAGTCTTGAGGCAGGAACTCACCAGGGCTGTTCAAGAACCTCAGGAAGGCTGCTGTGGCAAGAAAGCAGAGATTGGGGGAAGAGCAGTGGAGGGGAGAAAGGGAGACTTATATTTTGAAAGAGATGGAAAAACATTTGACTTTAAGCACAAAAGTGATCCTTTAGCTTGCTTTTAGAAACCATTGTGTGTCTAGGTGCTGGTGGCTCATGCCTATAATCCTAGTTACTCAGGAAGCTGAGATCTGAAGATTGTAGTTCAACACCAGCCCGGGTAGAAAAGTCTGTAAGATTCTTACCTCCAACAAACTACCAAAAAGCTGGAAGTAGAGCTATGGCTCAAAAGGTAGAATGCTAGCCTTGAGCAAAAGAAACTCAGGGATAGTACATCCAAGTCCTGCATTCAAACCCTCGAATTGGTACAAAAAAAAGTAAAAGGAGGTGTAGGCAGAGTCCTGGGAGCAGTTTACTGGGGGTGACTTTGGGGATGATTGAAGACCTTAACAGCAGAATCGTTTCCTCCCTCCCTCCTTTTCCTCCTAGTAGCAGCTCCACGCTCGCTATGTGTTGAATCTTTTGTATGAGGCCAGGAAACACCTGGCACAGCTGCCTAATATCAACCGGGTCTCCACCTGCTTCAGTGAAGAGATCACAGTGTGTGGTAAGAGCCTGGGCGAAGCTCTCCTCTCCAGTCTAACTCGCCCAGCCGCCGCCCTGTGGTGGGGAGGGGGAGGCAGGAGGGCCTGTCCTGAGGGAAAAGTGGCAATGGTGGCCAAGTCTCATGCCTTCACCCTGTTAACTTGTTTGTTCTCCATTTACTTCAAGGAGACTGTTTCGAGAAAGGGAGCTTTGGAGCCGGAGGCTAAGCCTCTGCTTTATCTTCCCAAGCAACTCATATTAACTCCAAATTCACATTCTCCACTCGAGAAAAACAAATCACTGCAAATCATATTAGAAGGCAACCTGTTTATTGGAATTTGAGCAAATCCCCAAGGCCTACAGTATTATTTCCTTGATCCACATATATTTCTCTTGTAGAGAGAGAGGTCCAGTGCACCAGTTTCCTCCATTTTCATATGATTTTTTTTTTTTTTGTCAGTCATGGGGCCTGAACTCTGGGCCTGGGTGTTGTCCCTCAGCTCTTCAGCTCAAGGTTAGTGCCCTACCACTTGAGCCACAATACCACTTCTGGCTTTTTTTCTGCTTATGTGGTGCTGAGGAATTGAACCCAGGGCCTACTACATACGAGGCAAGCACTCTACCACTGAGCCACCTTCCCAGCCCTCCATATGATTTTTGTGTGCTTGTGTGATACTGGAGTTTGAACTCAGGATCAAACTCCTAAGCAGGATCTCTACCACTTGAGCTATGCCCATATTCCTTTTTTGCATTCTTAATTTTTCAAACAAATGCCACTTTGCCCAGTTCTGTATTGGGTCTCGTGAACTTTTTGTCTGGGTTGGCTTTGAACTGTGATCCTCTTAATCTCTTCTCCTCAGTGGCTATGATGACAAGTATGAGCTATCATTACTGGCTTCTTACACTTTCCCTGACATCCAGCATCCACACAGACCAGTGCCTATACTTCAGCAGTGCGAGTCTTGACATACCAAGGTTTGTGAATGAGCACTGCAGAAACACACACAGCCTGCTGATACATACTGCTTGGCCTGCAATAATTTTTGTTGTTGTTCATGGGGCTTGAACTCTGGGCTTGGGCGCTGTCCCTGAGCTCTTTAGCTCAAAGCAAGAGTTCTACCACTTGAGCCACAGAGCCACTTCTGGTTTTCTAGTGGTTAATTGGAAAGAAGAGTCTCATGGACTTTACTTGCCCAGGCTGGCTTTGAATTGCAATTGTCAGATCTCAGCCTCCTGAGTAGCTAGCTAGGATTACAGGCATCAGCCACTGATGCCCTGCTAGCCTACAGTAATCTTAAACTTTAATGCCAGTTTTCCAAATAAAACGTATTGGATCAGACCATTAAATAAGAAAGTGGATGGGCTGGGAAGGTGGCTCAGTGGTAGAGTGCTTGCCTTGCATGCCTGAGGCCCTGGGTTCGATTCCTCAGCACCACATAAGCAAAAAGAAAAAAGCCGGAAGTGGCGCTGTGGCTCAAGTGGTAGAGTGCTAGCCTTGAGCTGAAGAGCTGAGGGACAGCGCCCAGGCCCAGAGTTCAGGCCCCATGACTGGACCCCCCCCCCCCCAAAAAAAAAAGAAAGTGGTACGCAAAAAAAAAAAAAAAAAAAAGCTTCTGAGCTTCTGTGAAGTCCTAAATGTGGTTTGAGGAGCCAGATGATTCTGATGGAAGAGAAGAGTAGCTCCTCTGAACTCTCAGAAATTAGAGCAGGCTACTCCCAGATAACTCCTTCATCCGACCAACTTCGTTTTGTGTTGTTTTAAGCCCAAGGCTGTATTGTAGCCTAGGCTGACCTGGAACTCCCTACATAACCCAGGTTGGCCTTCAATTCAATTCTCTTGTTTCTAGTCTGTCAGTACTTTCTATCAGGAACTGCACACATTAAGCCCTCAATGTCTAAAACAAACATAAATAAAAGATTGGGAAAACTATATTATACATGAGATTGTCCTTTATTGTTTTTTGAGCCCAGGAACTCAGTCTTCTTACTTCAGTCTCCAGCATTCTGGGATTACAGACATTTGCTATATGTCTGGCTTGGTTTCGTTCCTCTTAGTTTCCCAAAACCATTTTTTTTGGTTGAACTCAAGTCCTGGGCTCTGTCTCCAAGCTTTTGTGCTCAAGGATAGCACTTTACCACTTGAGCCACAGCTCTACTTCTGGCTTTTTGGTGTTTAATTGGAGAGATAAGAGTCTCATGAACTTTCCTGTCCAGGCTGGCTTTGAACCTTGATCCTCCGATCTCAGCTTCCTGAGTAGCTAGATTACAGGTATAAGCCACTGGTGTCCAGCCCTAAAAACCATTAATTTTCACAGAAGAAATTTTTCATAAGAAAAAAAAAAGAGGCGGGGTGTTGGTGGCTCACACCTGTAATCCTAGCTACTCAGGAGGATGAGATCTGAGGATCGAGGTTCAAAGCCAAGCCCAGGCAGGAAAAGTCCATGAGACTCTTACCTCCAATAAACCACCCAAAAAAACAGAAGTGGCGCTGTGGCTCAAGTGGTAGAGCCTTAGCCTTGAACTGAAGAGCTCAGGGACAGCACCCAGGCCCAGAGTTCCAGCCCTGTGACTGACAAAAAAAAAAGAAAAAAGAATTAAATCCTTAGTATCACAAAAATTAAATAAAGTCAGTGTTCCAACATTTGAAAATTAGAGGATTTTATATTAAAGTCTAGATTTTGCTATTTTTCTTCAAAAATCTCCTACAACTGTCAGCTTCCTACTGCAACTAAGAGAAACTCCTAGGTTCCCTTTTTGAGTTATAATCATGCATGGCTCTGTTCAATTATTGCTTCTGTAGAGGATAATCATACAGAAAAAAAGTCATGCTTTCTGTTTTCAATGTTAACTGTCTCTGCAATCAGGGGAAATTAACATTTGCTCTTTTTTTTTTTTTGGTTGGTCATGGGTCTTGAACTCTGGGCCTGAGTGCTGTCCCTGAGCTCTTCAGCTCAAGGCGAGTGCTCTCCTGCTTGAGCCACAGTGCCACTTCCAGTTTGCTGGTGGTTAATTGGAGATAATAGTCTCATGGACTTTGCAGATCAGGCTGGCTTTAAAATGTGATCCTCAGATCTCAGCCTCCTGAGTAGCTAGGATTACAGGCATGAGCCATGGGCCCCCTGCTGCCCTATCTTTTATATGGAAAAATGAGTAACTTGGTCTTCTTAACTTAGATATTTCTAAGGTACGGTGTTTTCCTTGTTACAGGAAAAATAAAATAAAAACAATGATAATGGACAAGAATTGATATTCTTTTTCTTTGTTAGGAGATTTACATGGCCAGTTGGATGACTTAATATTTATATTTCATAAGGTATGAACATTCAAATTAAGTTCTTTCTTTACTCTTATGCTTAATGTACTAGTCGTAATACAGTATCTATTGAGCAAATGTTTAAATATTACTTGGACTTTTCTTTTTTTTGTTGGTGGTGAGGCTTGAACTCTGGGCCTGAGCACTGTCCTTCAACTCTTCAGCTCAAGGCTAGTGCTCTATCTCTTGAGCTACAGCACCACTTCCAGTTTTCTGGTGGTTTATTAGAGATAAGAGTTTCAAGGACTTTCCTGCCCAGGCTGGCTTTGAACTTCGATCCTCAGATCCCAGCCCTCTGAGTAGCTAGGATTACAGGCGTGAGTCACCGCGCCCAGCTATTTGGACTTTTTAAATATTGTCAAATAATATTTGTTTCTGTGGGACAAATACACAATACTAAAGTCAGCATTACATTGCATTCCAGTATATTTTTGTAAGTGTTAACATCGTGTTACTTAAATATGATTATTCAGCCATCAATTTTTTTCAAGATAAAGAAAATTGATCATTGTCAAGACAACCAAAATCTGCTTTCATATTTTAACTATAAATATATAAAATATAATACAATATGTGCATACATTTTATTACTCTGATATTCCTTTATATATATATATATATATATATATATATATATATACTATGCTTTTAAATAATTTCTCCACATGCTATCTTGCTGATATCTGCTAGGAATCAATAGCGGCAATCATTACCACCACTGCTACCAATACCAACCCCACCACCACCATCAGTAGCATCTTCATCATCATATGTAGAGGGAACTTTAAGCTGGCCTTCAGCTCACACAAGTACATGCCTTTGCTTCCCACTACATGGTGGCACTGTGGCTTTGTATGGAGTGTTTAGATGAGCATCTCAAAGGCTCAGCCTCACTGGAAAGGAACTAGAACATAGTGGAAGATATTTCCGTCTTCTGACTTTTCACACTTGGAAGAACCCACAAAGCACAGAACTGGTTGTGGAGCTGATGGGATGCTCAATGCCCATTGACTTTAACCTGATCTTCCTTCCTTTCTTCCCATTGGCTCTTCGTGGACTGATCTCTGGGTTGAAAAGAATGGCCTCCCATCACCAGAGCGGGCTTATGTGTTCAACGGTGACTTCGTGGATCGAGGCAAGGACTCAGTAGAGATCCTGATGGTTCTTTTTGCCTTCATGTTGATTTACCCAAAAGCATTCCATCTTAACAGAGGAAACCATGAGGACCATATGGTGAACTTACGGTACAAGCCAAATCATGCTTGGGTGTTTGTTGCTTGCCTCTTGCAATTGAAAGACATTATTTTGCCATTGGATGCCTTCTAAAAGTAGTTTTCTGATTTCTGAAATAGAATACAATAGTACAAAGTAAGGTTGTACTATAGAAAAGGTGTAAAGATGGGGGGTAGGGCATGGCTGAGGTATTAGAGCACTTGTGTAGCAAGTACAAAACCTTGGGTTAATCCTCAGTTCTGGAAAAAAAGAAAAAGAAAAAAAAAAGAAAAGGTAAAAAATACAGATAAACGAGAGGAAGAAAATGGAAAGATCTCATTTCTTGCCTAAAGATAATTTTATAATTGTAAACATTCTGGTAATTATTCCTCAATCTCTATTTTTTTCTTCTGTCAGCCATAGGGTTTGAATTTAGGGCCTTGGTGCTGTCTCTGAGCTTTTGGGCTCCAGGACAGCACTCTACCATTTTGAGCCACAGCTCCACTTTCAGTTTTTTTTGGTGGTTGATTGGAAATAGGAGTCTCATGGAGGGCTAGGGAGGTAGCTCAGTGGTAGAGCGCTTGCATTGCATGCATGAGGCCCTGGGTTCGATTCCTCAGCACCACATAAGCAGAAAAAGCTGGAAATGGCACTGTGGCTCAAGTGGTAGAGCGCTAGCCTTGAGTTGAAGAGCTGAGGGACAGTGCCCAAGCCCAGAGTTCTGGCCCCATGACTGGCAAAAAAAAAAAAATTAAAAAGTAAGAGTCTCGGGCTGGGAAGGTGGCTCAGTGGTAGAGTGCTTGCCTTGCAAGCCGGAGGCCCTGGGTTCAATTCCTCAGCACCACATAAGCAAAAAGAAAAAAGCCGGAAGTGGCACTATGGCTTGATTGGTAGAGTGCTAGCCTTGAGCTGAAGAGCTGAGGGACAGCGCCCAGGCCCAGAGTTCAAGCCCCACGACTGGACCCAAAAAAAAAAAAAAATAAGAGTCTCAAAGATTTTCCTGCCCAGGCTGGCTTTGAACTATTATCCTAAGATCTCAGCCTCCTGAGTAGCTAGGATTACAGGCATGAGCTATCAGCACCTGGCTCTCAACCTCAAATTTTAATTTTTTTTTGGGGGGGGGGGTCCGTCATGGGGCCTGAACTCTGGGCGCTGTCCCTCAGCTCTTCAGCTCAAGGCTAGCGCTCTACCACTTGAGCCACAGCGCCACTTCCGGCTTTTTTGTTTTTGCTTATGTGGTGCTGAGGAATCGAACTCAGAGCCTCAGGCATGCAAGGCAAGGGCTCTACCACTGAGCCACCTTCCCAGCCCTTAATTATTTTTATTAACATACATTAGTTGTATAAGGGGGAAGGGTTTCTTGTGACTTTTCCATATATTTATGCAATGTATCTGAATCACTGAGGTATATCACTCCTTACCATCTCTTTTCTACCTATTTTAGATATATACATATATATATATAGAGAGAGAGAGAGAATATGCATTTTTAGAAAAAATATACTGTCAGGCCTGAAGGCATGGCTCAAGTGGTAGACTACTTGCCTAACACGTGCTGGGCCCTGGGTTCAAGCCTCAGTACCACCTAAACAAATAAGTAAGAAAGAAAAAAATGTGATCATGTCCTAACCACTGTCACTAAATTTAATATCTGTTTGTACTTCTATATCTAGATATGGCTTCACCAAGGAAGTAATGCAGAAATACAAGGTATGCTGCGTTTAGGAATGAAAATTTCTCCTAATTCAAGCAAGTTGAGGGAGTTATTAGAAACTTGACATCTTAATATTGTTTTCAGACACATGGAAAGAAAATATTAAGAATTCTTCAAGATGTTTTCTGTTGGCTTCCACTTGCCACAATAGTTGATGAGAAAGTTCTGATTCTTCATGGTGGGGTATCACGCCGGACTGACCTGGAGCTTTTGGCCAAGCTAGACAGACACAAGGTACTGATTAAGAAAGTAATGCCAGTTTCACCTTAATGTCAAGTTTCATTGCCAACATATAATAAATATAATCTTTTTTTTTTTTTTGGTTGGTCATGGGGCTTGAACTCTGGGCCTGGGCTCTGTCCCTCAGCTCTTCAGCTCAAGGCGAGCGCTCTACCACTTGAGCCACTGCACCACTTCTGGTTTTCTGAGTGGTTTATTGGAGATAAGAGTCTTACAGAGGGGCTGGGAAGGTGGCTCAGTGGTAGAGTGCTTGCCTTGCATGCCTGCGGCCCTGGGTTCAATTCCCCAGCACCACATAAGCAAAAAGAAAAAAAGCCGGAAGTGGTGCTGTGGCTCAAGTGGTAGAGTGCTAGCCTTGAGCTGAAGAGCTGAGGGACAGCACCCAGGCCCAGAGTTCAGGCCCTACGACGGGACCCAAAAAAAAAAATAAAATAAAATAAAGACTCTTACAGACTTTCCTGCCCAGGCTTTGAACCTTGATCCTCAGATCTCAGCCTCCTGAGTATCTAGGATTATAGGCATGAGCCTCCAGTGCCTGACAATAAATATAATCTTGTATGTCTACTCTTATTGGCTACTAAGATTCAGTAGCAAAAGGAAGAATTCACAATATATATATTGCTATATATATGCCATCTCTGATCTTGATAATGCTTCTAATTTTTTTTATGGCTATACTGGAATTTGAACCTAGGGCCTTATACGTGCTAAGCAGGTCCTCTACTATTTGAGCCACACCTCCACTTCCCTGATCTAGATAACTGTACTTTTTGTCCAAGACCAGAATTCAAACTCTTGATCTGATGCTTTTGCTCTTTGGCTAATGTTCTACCATCTGAGCCACACCTCCAACATATAATCACTACTTTTCTTTCACTATCACTTGGAACTTCTATTTCCCAAATAATTCATATCATATTTAATCAAACTCAACACATGGGTATTTAGTACCTAGCACTTGCAGGGAGGCTTGTGTTGGCACATACAAAGATGAAGATCAAATCACTTTCAAATAGCTCAACAACTATGTTTTGAGTGCTTATTATAGACCAAGAAAGGGTTAGGGGAGACAGAAAGAGGAAGCAGATGATTCCTGCCCCAAAAGAATTTTAATAACCAGTGTGTGTTGGGGGCAGGGGAGGGAGAAGGTGAGGCAGAATAGATACTATTCTATTAACAATAAGTTTCTGTTTTCCATTTCACTTTGGAAGTGGAACCTAAACAGGAAAAGGTTTTATTTTCATTTAGTAAAAATGACTCCTGCATTTGACTGCACCTTAAGCATCCATCCTTCAGCTGCCCATCCCATGCTGAAACCTCTGCTGTACTGTGCTGAACATTTCCTGAACTTTGAGTATTTCTCTTTCTTTTTCTTTTTTTTGGGGGTCCAGTCATGAGGCCTGAACTCTGGGCGGGTGCTGTCCCTCAGCTCTTCAGCTCAAGGCTAGCGCTCTACCACTTGAGCCACAGCTCCACTTCCGGCTTTTTTCTTTCTGCTTATGTGGTGCTGAGGAATCGAACCCAGGGCTTCAGGCATGCAAGGCAAACGCTCTACCACTGAGCCACCTTCCCAGCCCCTTGAGTATTTCTATTGGACATGAAAGTCTATAGATAGGAACCAGTAGAGTCTGGCAGGATGGATCTGAGTCTTGGAATATCAAGCTATTGCTACTTTGGCAATTTTGTTCTACAAACATCCAGAGACCCAGGCTTCTGATGTCTTTCTTCCCATCCTAGGGAGTCAAATCAAGCCTTCCTCTGAATCATCAGGACAATGTACCACAGCCATATCCCAGGTAGTGGAGAGAGGAAGGATGGAAATGAAAGCCTTCTTGCCCCATAAGGACTCCATATAGAACTTGGACATTTGTGCCCTCTCATCCCCTTGTACTGAATGTGGATACAAGCTTACCGCTCACTCGAAGGGAAGCAGGAAATGTAGTCTTCTTCTTTTTTTATGATTGTTCATATGCCCAAACCCTCTTCTGCAACCTATAGAGTTTGCATTCTTATCAGAAAGAAGAGGGAAATAGACCTGGGATATAATACTCTTTGTCACAAAGATTTTTAAGTATGGAATTACCAAACGTGTAGGTATGGTATATTGTTAAACCATAGCCTGTGAAATCATATGGAAATTTAAGATAAAAGTTCTGATTCTATTACATAAATATCATGACCACAGACAAGTTACCTAACCCATTATAGAGTCAGATTTAACTCTACAGGATTATAATTATATCATGGGTGTTGGGAAGATTAAATCACAAAGTCATAGGGGCTCAGACTCCTGTCTTGCTGCTTCACCATGTTGCATCATGATCCAAGATGGCCTGGTGTCCGTAGTTCACACCTGTAATCCTAGCTACTCTGGATCTGAGTAGCTGAGATGTGAAGATCGTGGTTCAAAGCCAGCCCAGGCAGTAAAGTCTGTGAGACTCTTATCTCCAATAAACCATCAGAAAACCGGAAGTGACACTGTGGCTTACGTGGTAGAGGGCTGGTCTTGAGCTAAAGAGCTGAGGGATAGTGCCCAGGCCCAGAGTTCAGCCCCACAACCGTCAAAAATAAATAAATGACCCAAGATGGCTGCTTGAGTTCCAGTCATCAGATATGAAAGTCTATAAATATGAGTCATTGCAGTCATGCAGGCTGAATCTGAGTCTTGAAATATCAAGCTGTTGGTAGTTTGGTAGTTTCTTTCCTTTTATGGGAGATAGTTGGTTATTTTGCCTGACAAGTTCTCTTTTGGGCTAAACTAGAAGAATGATAATCTTGAGTTTCTAGTGGCCAATTTGTCTCCCCAATTGTTTTTTGGTGTTTTTTGGGGGGGAGGGGATTGGTCATGGGACCTGAACTCTGGGCCTGGGCACTGTCCCTGAGCTCTTCAGCTCAAGGCTAGCGCTCTACCACTTGAGCCACGGCGCCACTTCTGGCTTTTTTCTTATGTGGTGCTGAGGAATCGAACCCAGGGCCTCATGCATGCAAGGCAAGCACTCTACCACTGAGCCACCTTCCCAGCCCCCTCTCCCCACGTTTTGATGCATACCCTTCTTCCAGTACAGAACCAGGCTCATCCTCTCCCCAAGGGAGACAGCACTCAAGGCTTCCCCAACAATTGCATCTACTACAGTGTTCAAGGTTACTGGTCTAAGAACCTCTCTATCAATCTGGATATGATGCCATGTGCTTTCATGACCAAAAGATCAAAGAAAAGGATAACGCTGGTAGAGGTGTGAGGGCATCTGCAAATCAGTGGTTCTGGAACCTCCAACCCTTCCTTACAAACCCCTCCCTTCTTACATGCAATCTCAATGTTCTTGAAGAAAGTGCAGGTGCAAGGAGCCTAAATTCTAAGTTCTTAATGTGTCCTTCATTGATTTTGCACGTCACCTGGCACCCAATTATTTTAAGCTTCCACGCTAATTATATCTTGATATTTCTTTCAAGCTTTCAAACATTCTGTTCAGTTGGGTCTCTGTCTAAAAGCAGGGCATGGCTTTATCTTATGAATTCATATTGAATCATGAAAACATAGAAGTAGGAAGAACTTTGGAACAGATCTTTATGGCTTGGCAAAGCTAATTTCCTGATACTTGGTTTGCAAAGCTGTATAGAGGGATGATGCAGCCATGTATAAAGTCTGGGGAGCCCTTGTACTAAATGATGCTATTTCCTAGGTGCAGTATGAAGGTTCATCAATTAATGCAAGTGCCCAGAATAGGCCTATTTGGCAAGAGCTCCAATATATCCCTAGTCTCCTTAAGAACCAAAGCTAGGGCTGGGAATGTGGCTTAGTAGTAGAGTGCTTTCTAGCATGCATGAAGCCCTGGGTTCAATTCCTCAGTACTACATAAACAGAAAATGCTAGAAATGGCACTGTGGCTTAAGTGGTAGAGTGCTAGCCTTGAGCAAAAGAAGCTTAGGGACAGTGCCCAGGCCTTGACTCTAGCTCCAGTACAAAAACAAACAAACAGGGCTGGGAAAGTGGCTCAGTGGTAGAGTGCTTGCCTTGCATGCCTGAGGCCCTGAGTTCGATTCCTCAGCACCACATAAGCAAAAAGCCGGAAGTGGCACTGTGGCTCAAGTGGTAGAGCCTTAAGCTGAAGAGCTGAGGGACAGCGCCCAGGCCCAGAGTTCAGGCGCACGACCGGATCCCCAAAAACAAACAAACAAACAAACAAAAAGAATCAAAACTAGGGAAGCCAGGCACTGGTGGCTTATACCTGTAATCCTAGCTATTCAGGAGGCTGAGATCTAAGGAGCTTGGTTCAAAGTCAGCTCAGCAATTAACTACTAGAAAATAGGAAGTACAGTTATAGGTCAAATTGGTTGAGCACTAGATTTGAACATAAAAGCTCAGGGACAGCAGGCAGGCCCTGAGTTCAAGCCCCACAACCAAAAATTAAAATTAAAAAAAGAATCAAAGCTAAGTATGTTCCTTAGAGCCACTTGTACCATCCTGAGTTGAAGGGGTGGGTCTGGAGGACTGGCCTTCCCTAACAGCTTGCAGGATGGAGAGGAGTGTGGTTATCAGTCAGGTCATATTGCCTGGTCTTTCTCTATGCCCAAGACTGGAACTGCTTGAAGTGATTAATGCTTGTCCAGTGTTGGGAGAAACTCTGCTGGGGCTTCCTCTTCAAACCTCATTCAGTTACCTGGCCCCCTCTCTGGGTATTTTCCTTCCTTCCTTCCTTCCTTCCTTCCTTCCTTCCTTCCTTCCTTCCTTCCTTCCTTCCTTCCTTCCTTCCTTCCTTCCTTCCTTCCTTCCTTCCTTCTTTCTTTTCTTTTTTTTTTGTCAGGCCTGAACTCTGGGCCTGGACACTGTTTCTCAGCTCTTCAGCTCAAGACTAGCACTCTACCACTGGAGCCGCAGCTCCACTTCCGGCTTTTTCTGCTGATGTGCTGAGGAATCGAACCCAGGGCCTCATACATGCAAGGCAAGCACTCTACCACTGAGCCACCTTCCAAGTCCAAGTCTCATACTTTTGCTCAGACAGGCCTTGGACTGTAATCCTTCTATTCCCCCTTCTGGGATTACAGGCATGTTCCACCATACTAGGCTCCTCTACATTCTTTTCTTTTCTTTTTCCAGTTGTAGGGCCTGGGTGCTGTCCCTCAGCTCTTCAGCACAAGGCTAGCGCTCTGCCACTTGAGCCTCAGCGCCACTCTGGCTTTTTTATGCTTATGTGGTGCTGAGGAATCCATCCCAGGGCCTCATGCATGTGAGGCAAGCGCTCTACCACTGAGCCACCTTCCCAGCCCCTTCTTTTTACTCTTAGCATCTGTGGAACAACTGGAAGAATAAAGGTTTGCCTTTATGAGGGACAGCTGCCCCTTCCTGTCTGTCTCTAAAATCTTTCTAGAGAGAGAATGGTGACCTAAGTGAATGTTTACCAAATTCTCTGTGGCAAAAGACTAGGTATTATGATTTCCTAATTCATCACAGATCACAAAATACAATAAATGTGAAGTGTTTAAAAATGAAATTCAAGGGCTGGGAAGGTGGCTCAGTGGTAGAGTCCTTGCCTTGCGTGCCGGAGGCCCTGGGTTCGATTCCTCAGCACCACATAAACAAAAAGAAAAAAAGCCAGAAGTGGCGCTGTGGCTCAAGTGGTAGAGCGCTAGCCTTGAGCTGAAGAGCTGAGGGACAGCGCCCAGACCCCAGAGTTAGGCCCCATGACTGGACCCCCCCCCCCCAAAAAAAAAAAATGAAATTCAAAGGATGGGAATGTGCTTAGTAGTAGAATGCTTGCCTAACATGCACGAAGCCCTGGGTTCAATTCCTCAGTACCACATAAACAGAAAAGGCTAGAAGTGGCACTGTGGCTCAAGTGGTAGAGTGCTAGCCTTGAGGGAAAGAAGCTCAGGGACAGTGCCCAGGCCCTGAGTTCAAGCCCTAGGACTGGCACAATTAATTAATTAGTTAATTAATACAACACAATAAAAAATAAATATAATAAAAAATGAAATTTAAACAAAAGACAGAAGCCAATCGATCCTGTGTGTGATTGAGTATCACAGCAATATCACCTGGCTGTAAGAATGTCTAAAATTTGTTCCTTGCCTTATCCCAGGCCTGGAAAAAACACTTGTTTATGAAGCCCAGTATTTAGGACTGACTGGGTGTGAAAGTAGTACTCAGAAAGGACCTACTACTTTATTCCAACTCTATTTCTTTTGCATGTGTTTAGATTGTTTCTACCATGAGATACAAAATGAGAAAGGAAAATGAGAAAAAGGCAGAGAAGAGAAAAAGCAACCCGTCAAGCTATGCACAGAAACCCACCCCGTGGTTTCTTCCACAAAGCCGTTCGCTCCCCTCCTCTCCCTTTCACCTTGGCTCCAACAAGACCCACAAGGCCAGCCGGTCCTGCAGCGTCCCCTGCACCGCTCCCCTTGACTGCAAGGAGCTGTCCCAGCAGGTGCAGGTGCGGCCCTCTGTGGACCTGGAGCTGGAGCACTGTCACCAGCGAGCTGGCTTCCCAGGCATCAGAGAGAAGGAGGAGTCTTTGCCCTTGGCCCCAGAAGTGGACAGACATGCTGGAGAGCATCCAGAGCCCACATATGAAGAGTGGAGACAGGTGGGTTGTGACAGGCTAGAACATGGCTGCTACCAGGAGAGGTAGCATGTAAATTCAGGGTATGTCTTAGGCCTTCTCCCTACTTCATTTCTCTGGGGTTAGAACACCCCAGGAGACCATTTACTTAAAGATCATATGTCTTCATGCTTCATCAATGATAGGAAAATAGTTCAACAACTTAGCTTCAACAGGTATGGTCAGCTATTATCAATGAGATGTTAGTTTTTGTTGTTGGTGGTCGTAGGTCTTGAATTCTGGGCCTGGGCACTGATCCTCAGCTCTTCAGCTCAAGGCAAGTGCTCTACCACTTGAGCCACAGCACCACTTCCAGTTTTCTGGTGGTTTATTAGAGATAAGAGTCTCATGGACTTTCATGCCCTGGCTGACTTTGAACTGTGATCCTCAGATCTCAGCCTCCTGAGGAGCTAGGATTACAGGCGTGAGCCACCAGCACCTGGCTCCACTTCCAGGGGTGTGTGTGTGTGTGTGTGTGTGTGTGTGTGTGTGTGTGTGTGTGTGTGTGTGTGTGTGTGTGTGTGTGTGTGTGTGTGTGTGTGTGTGTGTGTGTGTGTGTGTGTGTGTGTGTGTGTGGTTAATTGAAGATAAAAGTCTCATGGACTTTCCTGTTAGGACCGTCTTCAAACTGTGATCCTCAAATCTCAGCCTCCTGAGTAGCTAGGATTACAAACATGAGCCACTAGTGTCTGGCTTTTGCAGGCTATGTTTAAGATTAGGTCTTGTTTCGTACCTGGGCTAGCCTATACTACAACCCACCTACTTTAGGATCATCATTGCTGGGATAAGAGAAACAGAGAGACAGCGATATCAGGACACTGTCTCTCAGAGTTCTGAGTTACCTTCAATACCAATTTAGAATATAGTGTTTTCTGTGTGTACTGGTCTTAGGGCCTGAACTCAGGGTCTGGGCACTGTCCTTTAGCTTTTTGCTTAAGGCTAGTGCTCTACCACTAGCCACAGCTCTACTTTTTGGAGATCAGAGTCTCACAGACATTTCTGCCCGGGCTGACTTTAAACCATGATCCTCAGATCAGCCTCGTGGCTAAGATTACAAATATGAGCCATCCAGGGCCTGGCCTAATGCATGGGAATTTATTCACTTAATCAACTATGTTCTTCTTCTCTGTCCTTTGTTCATCCCGTTCCTGTTTTCCTGTGAGCCTCTCTGAGTGAATATGGGTATCTTGGTCTTTCCAGGTGGTGGACATTCTATGGAGTGACCCCATGGCTCAGGAGGGCTGCAAGGCCAACACTATTCGAGGAGGAGGCTGTTACTTTGGGCCGGATGTGACAGAAAAGTTGCTGCAGAAATACAAGCTGCGATTCTTGATCCGTTCACATGAATGCAAGCCTGAAGGTTATGAATTCTGCCACAACCGCAAGGTGGGTGGAGCCTCCACACTGGGACTGTTTGTGGGTCACAGGAGGGACCCAAAGAGCATCTTCCAGACTCTGATGAGCTGAGACCTCTGTTTCTGATAACCAGTTGTGTCTCATATGTGTTACCCACTTGTTCCAAGCAACCTGGCAACCCTTCATTTTCTAAATTGTTATTATAAAAATGATCATCTTTGACTTTTTTTTGCCAGTCCTAGGACTTGAATGGCTTGAACTCTGGGTCTAGGCACTGTCCTTGGTCTTCTTTTGCTCAAGGCGAGTGCTCTACCACTTGAGTCACAGTGCCACTTCTGGCTTTTTTCAGTAGTTTATTGGAGATAAGAGTATCTTGGAGCTTCCTGACTGGGCTGGCCTGGAACCATGATCCTCAGATCTCTTCCTCCTGAGTAGCTAGGATTAGAGGCGTGAGCTACTATTGCTTGACTAATCCTTGTGTATGTGTGTGTGTGTGTGTGTGTGCACGCGTGTGCGTGTGCGTGTGTGTGTGTACATGTGCCTGCCATTTCTTAGGCTTGAACTTAGAGCCTGGGCACTGTCCTTGAGCTTTTGTACTCAAGGCTAGCACTCTACTACTTGAGCCAGAGCTCCTTTTCTGGCTTTTTGGGAGTTAGTTGGAGATGAAAGTCTCACAGATTTTCTTGCCTGAGCTGGCTTTGAACCATGATCCTCAGGACTTTTTAAAACTTCAAAATTGTTGTGGCCACTGCTTGTCAATACTGCTTGTCAATACTCTGACAGCAAGGGATAGATGTGGCTCCATTTTATTGATAGAAATTTGAGGCCTGTGTTTTTCCAGCCATAACTTTAAGTCTCAAGGATTACTGTTCCAGGTCTCAACCCTACAGGGAGCTAGATCTCCACTCTGTTCCAGGCAAGGATTCAGGATCATAGTCTCCTCAGGAGCAAAATCAATGTTCTGATTAATCCTTGGGCATCTCTAGATCCTTCAATATTTGCCGAATCTGCCTGACTGGTACCAATCAGAAGGGATATTCCCAGGAATGCTATATGGCCAGGAGAATAACAAGTTTGCAGTCAATTAAGAAGAAATGTTTGGTTAAATGGTTATGTAAGTTTCCTTATTGTAAGGGTTCTGAGAACCTTTGGTTTTCTATATTCATTGGAAATGTCCAGGAATATAAATATTTTTTCTAGCATCTCCCAATGTATTGATAATAAGAACTTTCCAGAGAGCAGAACTTTTCAGGAGGCATACAACTCCATAAAAAGCTCTACTTTGAGACACTCATCAACGTGTGTGTGTGTGTGTGTGTGTGTGTGTGATTAATTAGCGATGAGTCTCATGGACTTTCCTGCTCAGGCTGGCTTTGAACTATGATCCTCAGATCTCAGCCTCATGAGTAGCTAGGATTACAGGCGTGAGCCACTGGTGCCAAGCTACACATCAGCTTTAAGAACTGATCAGCCTCAGCCATCTCAACTCACAACACTCAGCCTATCCCTAAGTTAAACCCAATAAAATGATTTTTTAAAAATGGTTTCTGAGCCAGGTGTTAGTGATGTACTTTCAAGTTAGTCTGTGAGACTCTAATCTCCAATTAATCACCAAAAAAGCACCAGCAGTGAAGCTGTGGCTCAAGTGTGACTGACTGTGTCATGAGTCATGATTCCTTGATAGTACTGATTACTTCAAAAAAAGAAAACAGCCAGGTGCCGTTGGCTCACGTCTGTAATCCTAGTTACTCAGGAGGCTGAGATCTGAAGATCATGGTTCAAAGCCAGCCTGGGCAGGAAATTCTGTGACACTCCTATGTCCAATAAACTACCAGAAAACTGGAAGTGGCGCTGTGGCTCAAGTGGTAGAGCGCTCGCCTTGGGCTGAAGAGCTCAGGGACAGCACCCAGGCCCAGAGTTCAAGACCTACAACCGCCCTCCCCCCCCCCCCCCCCCCCCCCGCACACACACACACAGAAAACAGTGCAGGGCTGGGAATGTGGCTTAGTGATAGAGTACTTGCCTAGCATGCACAAAGCCTTGGGTTTGATTCCTCAGTACCACAAAAACAGAAAAAGCCAGAAGTGATGCTATGGCTCAAGTGGTAGGGTACTAGTCTTGAGCACGAGAAGCTAAGGGACAGTACCCAGGCCCTGAGTTCAAGCCCTAGGACTGGTACAAAAAAAGAAACAGGGCAGAAAGGAAGGAAGAAGGAAAGAAGGAGAGAGAGAGAGACAGAGACAGAGAGCGCCATGGATGAGTGCAGGGGACCAGCGGTGCTGACAGTGGACTGGCACTATGGGATGGAAGATGAGGGCGTTTTCACTCGCATGAATGCCATCTCTTCTGTTTTGATTTAGGTACTAACCATCTTTTCTGCCTCCAACTACTATGAAGTTGGCAGTAACAGAGGGGCCTACGTGAAACTGGGGACATCCCTGACGCCGCATATTGTGCAGTATCAAGCGAACAAGGCAACCCACAAGTTAACCATGCGGCAAAGGCGAGACTTTTCAATGAATGCTTTTCAGAAAAAATGACAGTGCTTTACAGAACGTTTCGGGGAGTCAGTGTCATTGCATTGGTCTAAATTCTATGTGAAAAAAATTCAAAAAATTGGACTGGGAAGGTGGCTCAGTGGTAGAGCGCTTGCCTTGCATGCCTGAGGCTCTGGGTTCGAGTCCTCAGCACCACATAAGCAAAAAGAAAAAAGCTGGAAGTGGTGCTGTGGCTCAAGTGGTAGAGCGCTAGCCTTGAGCTGAAGAGCTGAGGGACAGCGCCCAGGCCCAGAGTTCAGGCCCCATAACCAGACCACCCCCCCCCCCCAAAAAAAAAATAATTCAGAATTAAGCCAAGTCACAACTACCATCTAGAATAGATAGTATAAAAGCCACATTAATCTGCTGTTTTGGTACTGTAATAAAATAACTGAGGCTATGAAGAAAAGAGGTCAGAACAGTTTTGGAGGCTGAAAATTCAAGAATGGGGCAGCTGATCTTGGTTTGGCCTCTGGGGAGGGTAGAACAGCAGATGGTATCAGGGTGAATACTGACGAGGAAGATCACATCTCGAGACAAGCCAGGTTGAGAGGGGAGAGGCAGGCTTCCCTTTATACCCTTTAAGTCAAGGGTCTCCCAGGAACTACCTTAATCCCTTTGTATATCCCCAGTGACCTATAGACCTTGCGCTAGGCTCCATGTCCCACACTGAGGAGCAAGTGCCAACACATGAAGCTTCAGAGAACAAACCCCATCCTCCCCACATAGATCTCACCCTTCTCCACACACTTAATATTCTACCAACCCATCATTAATGCAAGCAATGTGTCTATTTCCTGCAAAAATTATCCTCTATGGATGTATTTGAATGAAGCCCATATATCAAGCCACCAAGTCTTTTGAAGGTTATTCTCCTATTTTCTCTCGACTAGAGAGAGTTTACATTACCCCAAAAAGCCACTGTCAAAGGCTTTCTTTCTCTATCTACAGACTTGGCACTGAAGCCTCTTTCTGGGCTAGGAAGGTAGAGTGCTTACCTTGCATGCATGAGGCCCTGGGTTCAATTCCTCAGCACCACATAAACAGAAAAAGTTGGAAGTGGCGCTATGGCTCAAGTGGTAGAGCACTAGCCTTCAGCTGAAGAGCTGAGGGACAGTGCCCAGGCCCAGAGTTCAGGCCCCATGACTAACAAAAGAAAGAAAGAAAGGAAGGAAGAAAGAAAGAAACCTCTTTCTGAGAAGGAAATATGGAATATTATTTAAATATCTCTTGGGATGATTCTGAATTTTAATCCTGGTTTAGAATTTACCATGCACTAAATGTTTTAAATAATTCATATATACTGTCTCATGACCAACTTTTGAAATAGATACTATTATTGAACTCAATTTCATATATGAGATCACTAAGAGACAATCAGCTGGCCTGTAGAGAAGGACGGCAGTCTTGACCTATCTTCATTATTATTTCTGCAGAGACAAGTGCCTCAGAGTATATGAGATACTGATATATTCTAGTTTAGTCTACGGAACAAGCTACTGTAATTATTCCACCTCAATTAAAAATAAAAATAGACCAAGTTAGCATAAATCAAGTGACTAGAGAGAACACATTAATATTTAGCATTAATATTGTTAGGATCCATCAGGACCGTCCCAGGGGACCACACAGAGGCAGGCAGGGCCAGGAGAAAGATTATTATAAGGTCTATTAGAGGGGCCATATCTCCCCCTGGAGAGGGAGCAATATGCCATCTGCCCCCATACAGGTGGGTAGCTCTGGGGATAGTGGCCTTCTCAGGTAGGTCTGGGTGGGGAGAGAGGGAGTGGCCAGCTATCTGGCAGGAACTCTAGAGCAGGGAGGAGCTCAGGTCTGGGTGGAGCCGAGGACCAGAAGTGGGGAAAATGCCAACATTCCCAGCTTTGTTGTTTAATAATAAAGAGGGGACCGGGTGGGGAGTAGCTTCTTCTGGAGCTACTTCCAGCCATAAAGGGGTGAAGTAGTCAGGGGTCCCTGATTCGTTGTTCAGCTGGGTACCATCCAAGAAGTATTTGCTTGACAGTTTGCTTGGTAAAGGTCCTCATCTTTTCCATGAAAATAGTTACGGAAAATGCAAGGCGCAATTAGTAAAAGGCAAAAAAATTGCCACTAACAGGCCCAAGAGAGGAATAAGCCAGGGAGGGATTGATTCCCAGAGGGGCTATCAAAGGCCTGAGATTGCCTTTTCTATCTTGGATTGGAGACATAGCATGGGACCTGCCTCCCCATATCCTGGAGGGGGAAGTAAGACTTTTCCAGCTTTAGGATCACAGGAACCTGAGAAGGTAGCAGAGAGATTTAAAGGTACCAGAGCCAACAGGTATTATGTGCTTGTTTGGCTGCTTCCTGCTGGCTTGCGGGCATTGAGGAGTCACTGGAGTTGGGGTCTTTAGGGCCTGGGTCTGCGCTGGGCAAGGCAATGTAAATGAAGTCTCCAGTTATCTGTAGTGACAGGATGGCCTTGACTTGTTCCCAGATGGCTGTTATCCTGTTAAATGAAATGTTTGGAAAGGTCAGGCAAAAGGCTGACAAGGTGACAAGGTCAGTTAACATGAATGACATAGGAGAACACACCCGACCACAGGCCAGAAAAGTTTCATTCGGAGCATAAGCCTAGTTGTGGTCCATAACAGGGAAGGAGGAATAACTGGACTGGGGGCAGGAAGGGGTGTCTAGGGTTTTTGGCAACTGGGTAGAGGAGAGCATAGTGGACTGGTTAGCATTCGTAGACTGGTTTTGAAAGGGCAAGTATAAAGTGACTGCATTTAGAATGTTATTTCCTCTTACTCCCCTCCACGGTTTTCCTTTATCAGGACTGACCTCATCCTGGGGGTCTCAGTGCTTGTTGCTGGGATAGCTCATCCCAGTTAGCATTCAGAGGGTTTGGACTCAGGCCTGGGCAGTCTCTGAGAACTTCTGCTCAAGGCTAGTGCTCTAACACTTAAAGTCATAATGCCACTTCCAGCCTTTGGCTGGTTACTTAGAGGTGAGAGCGTCTCAAGTCAGGCCTCCAGCCTGGCTCTTTGCTGGTTACTTGGGAGATGGAGTTTTAGAGGGATTTTTCTGCCCAGGCTGGCTGTGAACTGTAATCAGAGGAGTCTTTGCCATAAAGGCCCCCTTTATTTCCAATTAAAGACCAATGGAGATAGAGCTTACCTGCAACTTGTTAACAATTGACTAACAATTACACGCCTGAATTTTGTCATTACAAAATGTAAATGTTGGGCTGGGAAGGTGGCTCAGTGGTAGAGCGCTTGCCTTGCATGCATGAGGCCCTGGGTTCGATTCCTCAGCACCACATAAACAAAAAGAAAAAAGCTGGAAGTGGCATTGTGGCTCAAGTGGTAGAGCGCTAGCCTTGAGCTGAAGAGCTGAGGGACAGCGCCCAGGCCCAGAGGTTCACGCTCCACGACCGGACCAAAAAAAAAAAAAACAAAACGTAAATGTTTTCAAATTGCAACTGATTAGTGCTCTAGGTAGCACCCATTATCTTTGGGCAGCCTGTTTAAAACAACTTAATCACCAACTGGTGGAAGGGAACATCAACAAACCGGGACAATGTTAAAGTCTGAGCTTCAGTGGCTCATGCCTTTCACCCCGAATCAGTAAGCTTTAATCATGTGTGACAGAGCCAGGCAGGGACCCAGCCTACTGTTCGCATGGTGGAAGTAGTCGGGATGGTCCAGGCAGTCTGGGCTAGGCTGCAGTAGTGCCTTCCAGTGTATGGATTGTCACACCTCCCGCTGTTTTTCCTGCAAATTTCTACACAGATGGTTAAAGACATCTTCCAGTATTTTTGTTTACTCTGAGTGCACTGTCTTTTGCAGGCTGATCCCCACTGGTTTAGGCAGGCTGACAACTTTGTTTTGTTTCCTGGGCATTGTCCCTCGCATGAGAGTAAACTGCACCCTGAGTCACTACTAGGGTAGAAAAAGCGTTTGGGGGTATCCAGACTCCACAAGCCACAGCACCACGCTTGCACATGTGCTCCACAATGGTTCAAAGGGAATTGATGGACCACAGGAGAGGAAACGGAGAGCCAAAAAACATTAGCCATGATCAAGATGTACAACATTTAACCTTTAGCATAGATGGACATGAGGAATGACAAAAATCACAGCCAAATTAATTACCAACTTCATTCATATTTGAACTTTTTGGAGTTCGTACTTGTAAGGTATATTAAATAAGTGGGTTTCATTAGGTAGCCGATGAAGAGAACACCACGCACTATTCAGGCTAGAAAAGAAGTTTATTTATCGAACTGCTGCTCCACCATGCAAGGTGGAGAAGCATGGCTGAAAAGGAAGGGGGGACCCACTCCTGGGCTGGGACTTATCTAGGCCAGGGACAGGAAGAGGTGTGGTCAGGTAGGGGAGAGGTGTGGCCACACTGGATCCGGACATGACCTCAGGTTCTGGGATCCTCCTCAGGTCAGATAGGAGGCATGTGATCAGAGATGGCCCAGGATGTGACCTAGCAGGAGGGGAAGGTGACTGCTTCCAGGTTACCTTCTGCCAGTTACCTAGGTAACAGATACTGGGCAGAAACTTAGCCAAGAGGTAGAGAGGTGTCCCTGTGCAGACCTTACAGTACTTTCAAAGGAAACCATTTTTTTGTTTGTTTTTCTCAACTCCTTGCTCAATGCCCTTTTAAAACTGCCTTTTTTTTCCTTTGGCTTATAGTCAGGTGATCTCAGAATTTTCAAGGCAACTCAGATTAAACCACAACTTCCATTGACAAAGGGCTTTTAGCAAGCAGAATACTTGGTAGTTACTAGGTTTATATTAGTTGCAATTGTGGTCAAAAGCAAGAAACTTTGAAAACGTGACAGTTTTACATATCTTACATATAGACAGAAGACATGTTTGTGCCCAAATCATAGGGCATGCTTCAATTTTAATATCAGCCACTGAAGTTTTCTAGAATTTTAGCGGCAAAATGCTATTATTTTGCCTAATTATAATGGAACCATGTGGTCAGTTAAAAACAAAAACTTTGCCAACAAACAAAAAAACTTTTCAGGAGACAGGAGGCCTGGGCTGGCCGGGGAGACAGGGAGGGCCAGGAGGGAGGGTCACAGAAACAAGTTCAGTTGGCACTGAACAGCAGCTGAACAGCACTGAGCTAGGCAGCTCCAGAGTTCAGGGGGCAGGGGTACAGGGAGCTTCACATCCCTGCCCTGCCTCTAGGGATTCAGGCATACCCATTACCAGAGGGGTCCATTTACTCCATCTCCAAGAGCTTTTGGAGATTTACTGCAGTGGCTCATGTTAATTTCTCTATTATCCACCACTTGGTCAATGCTAGGGAGAACTCAAGATTTAACTAGAATAGAAAACCTTTTAGCTAAAGTTCCTCTTTAAAACAATGCAATAATCCTTTGAGACTTTTAGTAAGTCCCAAACTTGCTGACCTTTCTTAGGGTTTAAAGTTAAATCCACCCATTTACCTTTTTGTGGTTTAAGTACAAACCTACCCATTTTTGAACATGTTTTACATACACATATACACACATACTCTAGTGCACAAAGATCTTAAAGTATGCAAAATGAATACCATTTTCTTCAATTTTTAGTGGCAAGAGATCCTTTCTTGCCAATCTTACTCTTGCAGATGACCAAGATTTTTTTTTGGGGGGGGGGGGGGAGGGCGTGGAGGTCATTGGTCTGGGGCTTGAACTCTGGGCCTGAGCTCTGTCCCTCAGCTCTTTAACTCAAGGCTAGCACTCTACTGCTTGAGCCATGCCACCACTTCTGGCTTTCTGGTTGTTAATTTGAGATAAGAGTCTCACAGACTGCCAGGTCTGGCTTTGAACGGTGATCCTCAGGCCTTATCAACCTCCTGAATAGCTAGGATTACAGGCATGAGCCACCAGCTGTGCCCAGCTAGATGACCAAGATTTAAGAGGAACTTTAACAAATCACTTTTGCTGGGCCGCATTGGTCCAGGGCTTGCTTGTTCTACCAAGGCCTATTAGCATATTGAATACTTTTCTGCTGAAGAATTGTAGGTGGGGGTCCCCTGGAGCTGAATTCAACCCACTCAGTACTTTTCTCTAGTCTTTGTACCAATTTTGACTAGAGCGTTTTACATATCAATTGACTGGGTACCTTCAGTTGGAAGAAGAGAGAAGTTACCAGAAGCTAACCTCTTAGCCCACCAGATAGCCTGTCTTTTGCCAATTGTAATTGTTAGTAGTTTTACAGGCTGGCAGGCAGGCAGTTTTAGGAGGGAGGGAGGGAGGGGAAGAGAGAGAGAGAGAGAGAGAGAGAGAGAGTTTTAATTACCCAAGAGTGCTCACAGAAATATCTAAGTCCTGTAAAATGGGGTTTCAGTATCTCATGAAGGGGCCATGTGGCATTCCAAATTTGGGGACAAATTTGATTGCATTAGGCTTAAGATTGGGCTCAAAGTTGAACAGTTTTTATGAAGAATTTCAGTTGTGTCCCTCCCATGGTAGGTGACCCAGAGCTGAGGAGTTAAAACCAAGTGTCCTCACTAGTATTGTTCAGCTTGTTACGAAGGCAACACAACAGCAAATGTGATTGTCACCACAAATGCTGGGTTCCTTGGCCCCTGAGGCCCTTAAAGTGAGGTTCAGAACTTGAATCTAAGATTTTGTCCTTGGGCCCTGTGGCCCCCATGAAAGCCCTGTGGCCTATATGGAAATCGGAAGGAAATCTGAACCTCCTGACTAACTACTGGTCTCTTACCCTGGAGTAAGAACCATCAGCTGCTATTGGATGGGTAGGAGATAGAGCGCTTGGTCAGAGGAAAGTTGCCTTGGTGGTCCTCTGGAGACAGCAATGTGAGACTATGGATTAGGCCCCAGGCAGCTGGTAGGACCCCCCTGACCAAAATGGGAATGAAGGGGAGGGCAAATTCACCGGGGAACCTATCCTGGGTTTTGGCACCAAATGTTAGGATCTTTCATGAGTATCCCAGGGGACCACACAGAGGCAGGCAGGCACAAGAGAAAGATTATTGTTAAGTTTATTAGAGGGGCCATATTTCCCCCTGGAGAAGGAATAATATAGTGTCTGCCCCCATCCAGGTGGGGATAGTGATGTGTGCAGGTAGTTCTGGGGTTAAGAGAGGGTGTGGCCAGCTATAAGGCAGGAACTCTAGGCAGGGAGGGGCTCAGGTATGGGTGGAGCTGAGGACTGGAGGTGGAGATAATGCCAACAAATATGACATTTACATACTTGTCCTAAAAATAAACTATTAAAGTCACACCTGGATTATTAAATAAAGGCCAGCTTTACTCAAAAAGAAGTGTTACAGCCAGGTGCCAGTGGCTCACACCTGTAATCAGAGCCACTCAAGAGGCTGAGATCTGAAGATTGTGGTTTGAAGTCAATTTGAGCAGGAAAGCTTGTGAGACTCCAATTAACCACCAAAAAGCTGGAAGTGGTGATATGGCTCAAGTGGTAGAGTGCTAGGCTTTAGCAAAATAAAGCTCTGGGACAGTGCCTAGGTCCTGAGTTCAAGTACCAGCACCAGCACCAAAGAGAGAGAAAGAGAAGTATAACACGAAAATTTAAACTTCCCACATGAAAATCATACTAAGTAGCAGTATCATCTATAGCTTTATAAAATCAGCCATCTGAATGTCACCTAGCCTACTAAATTATAGTCTCCAGGTGACCCCATTATCAGAACACCCAGGACTTAAGCCACTGGAGGGAATCCTATAATGTGCTTTAATAAGATAATCAAAAGCATTCAGCTCTTTGAAATGTTCACTGATTGCTATAAATTCATCACCTAAATTTTCCCGGGATTCACTTTTCCAATGCTATCAGCTATCTCAATAGTTAACTTAGAAAGAAAGGAGCAGTTATAGCAGCTGGGATGGATGGCAATGTCCATATCCTCTCACTTGCTCTTAAGAGAATCCTTACTCAGAGCTCAAAAACTGAGTTTTGGGGAGTGTCAGATACTAAGAGAGGAGCTGGGCTCAATGGTTCATGCCTGTAATCCCAGCTAACTTGGGAGGTGGTGAGAGGAGGATCCCAGCTTGAGGCCAGCCAGGAGAAAAGGTTAACAAGACTCAAACTCTGCTTTTTGAGGTGAGGATATAATGGTATATACCTGTGATCTCTGCAATATAAACGCAGATGTTGGAGGACTTTAGTTGTGGACCAGGTGAAAACAGGAAGCCAGGCGCTGGTGGCTCACGCCTGTAATCCTAGCTACTCAGGAGGCTGAGATCTGAGGATCGTGGTTCAAAGCCAGCCCAGGCAGGAGAGACCGTGAGACTCCTATCTCCAATAAACCACCAGAAAACCGGAAGTGGCGCTGTAGCTTAAGTGGTAGAGCGCTCGCCTTGAGCTGAAGAGCTGAGGGACAGCGCCCAGGCCCAGAGTTCAAGCCCCACGCCCGACAAAAAAAAAAAAGAAAAGAAAAGAAAACAGGAGACTCTGCATGAAAAATAAAACAAAGGAAGGGGGCCCAGAGTGGCTCAAGTGGCAGAGTGCTTGTCTAGGAAGCGTGAGACTCTGAGTTCAAGGAGACAGAATGCCATAACCCCCTAGACTTTCCCTCTAGACCCACATGTAAAATACTTCTTTACATCTCTTGGCCTAGGATTAGCAGGGTGGAGGTGTCAGCTCTCCGAGCTCTGCGGGAAAAGCTATTTGCTCACTCCTCAGACCTCCTTGGTGAATTCAAGAAGCATGATGCAGAAGAAACTGGTAAGAAAAAGTAAAGGTTCTTAGAGCAAGGCGCACTTCCCGGAAATCTGTCTTATGCAGGTAGCAGACAAATGTTTGCTGAATGGATAGATAGGTCTGCCGGGGAGAACAGCTCTTCCCCATTTCCTCTTCGCCTGCCTGAAACCAGTAATCATCTGACTGTCAATCATCTGACTGTGAGTCAGCAAGGGACTCCAGACTCAGGTCAGACAGTGGAGGTACACAGAGACAGAGGGGAAGGAAAAAGAAAGGGGGACTCTTGTTGGGCTGGATTATATAGAGAAAGGTGGGAGGCGGGACCAGGGCAGTCCAGGATGTGACCTCAGCAGATGAGGAAGTAACCTCAGAGTCTGGGGTCTCTTGCTGACTCACAGTCAGGGATTGAGTCAGGTGATTACTGGTTTCAGGCGGGTGAAGAGGAAGGGGAGACCAAACAGATACCAAACCATAAGCCCTTGTTTAATTACTTTCTCCAGCTTATGCAACTTAATGCCTCATGTTGGAGGCTAACCCTTTAAATTCGAAGCTTTTAACACAACATTAATTGTCCAAATAGAGATGGAGGTGGTAAAAGAAATGGAGTCAAGGGAGGGGTGACAAGACCAGAATTCGGCAGAAAATGAGCAGAGTGGAGGAATTGCAAGAATGCCTCTAACGTGAGCAAAAGAGCTGTGATTTGCCTTCCCAATGAGTGTGTGCTTATCACATCCAGCTTTTGTTAGTCAAGTGAACATGTAGCCTTAGCTCAAATTCAGCCAATATCAAACTGAACTTCCACTAACTATAGACCTAGTAAAAACAACAGTAGAGCTGGGTGACGGTGGCTCATGCCTATAAATCCTAGCTACTCAGGAGACTGAGATCTGAGGATCATGGTTCAAAGCCAGCCCTGGCAGGAAAGTCTGTGAGACTTTTATCTCCAATTAACCACCAGAAAACAGGAAGTGGCACTGTGGCTCAAGTGGTAGAGTGCTAGCTTTGAACTGAAGAACTGAGGGACAGCGCCCAGGCCCAGAGTTCAAGCCCCATGACTGAAAACAAGCAAACAAAAACCAGTAATAAGCTGGGTGCTGGTGGCTCATGCCTATAATCCTGGCAACTAGGTGGCTAAGATCTAAGGATCATGATTCAAAGTCTGTGAGACTCTTATTTCCAATCAAATACCAAAAAAAAAAAAACCAGAAGTGGAGCTATGGCTCAAGTGGTGGAGTGCAAGTCTTGAGCAAAAGAAGCTTAGGGATAGTGCCTAGACTCTGAGTTCAAGCCCCAGGACCAGCACCAAAAATAAAAATATACTTTTAAAAAATAGCAGTAGGGCTGGGAAGGTGGCTCAGTGGTAGAGTGCTTGCCTTGCATGCATGAAGCCCTGGGTTCGATTCCTCAGCACCACATAAGCAAAAAGAAAAAAGCTGGAAGTGGCACTGTGGCTCAAGTGGTAGAATGCTAGCCTTGAGCTGAATTGCTGAGAGACAGCGCCCAGGCCCAGAGTTCAGGCCCCATGACGGGACCCCCCCCAAAAAATAAATAAATAAAAAATAGCAGTAATGGAACTGGGTGGCTCATGCTTGCTCATTCTAGCTACTCAGGATACTGAGATCTGAAGATTGTGGTTTGAAGATAGCTCAGGCAGTAGGTACTTGAAACTCTGATCTCCCATCAGTTAGCCAGCAGAAAGCTGGTATGGCTCAAGTGATAGAGCACCAGCCTTGAGAAAGAGAGAAAAAACAACCATGCAAGAATGTGAGGCCTTGAGTTCAAGTCCCAGAACCAGCACACACACACACAGAACTACAACAACAAAAATAACAAAACGCATGCACCTATGTGTTTACCTGTCCTGTAAAGGAAAGCAGACTCTCAGGCGACTAGTCAACAGGTGAGTTCTTTCCTGTAGGCTTCATCACCCTGAGTGACTGGGCAGCAGCGGTGGAGTCGGTGCTGCACCTGGGCCTGCCCTGGAGGGTGTTGAGGCCACAACTGGTGAGCAGCTCAACAGATAACGCACTGGAGTACAAGACCTGGCTGGAGGACTTGGCCAAAGAGCAACTGAGCCGAGAGGTAATGGCAGATAATGGCAGAAGAGAACCCGTGCTGGCCTATGAAACCTTTACAGCTAGCAACCACTTAGGACCCAAAGGCAGGATGGGTGGGGACCTAGAGCAACTTCCTGTTGTATTACTTTTTTTGGTGGGGCGGTTGGAGGTGAGGGGGTGGTAAGGGCAAGGGAAGGCAGCATTGGGGGTTGAACTCAGGGCTTCAGTCTTACTTGCTAGGTGCTCTACTGCTTCCACCACATCTCCAGCCCCTTTTGCTCTGGTTATTTTTCAGATAAAAGCTCGCTTTTTGCCTGGACTAACCTGAAGGACCATCTCCTATTTATAGAGCTATTCATTGAGATAGAATCTTGAGGGCTGGAGGCATACATAATTCAAGCAATACAGCAGTGGCCAAGCAAGCGTGAGCCTCTGGATTCAATTCTCTTATTTAAAAGATAAATTTTTTTAAAAAGTAAAACATGAAAGCTAGATGTTGGTTGCTCATAACTGTAATCCTAGCTACTCAGAAGAAAGAGAAGCAGAGATGGTGGTTCAAAGCCAGCCTGGTCAGAAAAGTTCTTGAGACTTCATCTCCAGTTAACTAGCAAAATGCATACTAGAAGCATGGCTCAAGTAGTAGGGCAAAGCCCAGAGTTCAAGCCCCAGTAAAACACAGACATAAAATGAAAATAAATAGCTAAGATGAAGATGAGATCTCGTGAACTTTGTGTCTGGGCTAGTCTCAAACTATAATCCTCCCCATCCTACCTCCTAAATAGCTAGAATTATATGTGTGAGCTACTGGCGCCAAGCTATTTGTTATATTTGTTTATGTTAGACTTCATGTTAACCGATAATACATGCATTATCTCAGTTAATCCTCAAAACCACTTAAGAGGCAGGTATTATCTGCTCTGTTTGCCCTGGGAGGACAAGATGTTAAGTAATTTCCCTGGGGTCATAGAACTCTAAGCTGTGACTCAAACTCTGGTCTGGGCTGAAGGTGTACCTCAGTGATAGAGCATTACTTAGCAATGCGTAAGGCCTGAGCTCAATCTCTAGCACAAACCAAACAAAAAAAAGCTCAAATCTGTCTGATTTTGTTTCCTTGATACCATGTTTCCCTCCTTACTAGAAAACCAGTCAACAAATATTTACTGACTATGTAATATGGATGGGTTCTTGCATTAGATACTTTAAAAAAAGAGCTTTATTTCAATGCAATTCACACATCATATAAGTTAACGTATACAATGCAGTGCTTTTTAGAATACATGCATCTCTCAGAATCTGTAGGGAGTTGGTTCCAGGACCCCTTAGGGGTACCAAAATTCAAGTTCCTTATGTACAATAGCACCATATTTGCATATAGACTATACATATCCGCCTGTGTGCTTTCTGTGTGTCAACACTGGGGCTTGAACTCAGGACCTTGTATTCTTGCTTGTCTTTTTCATTCAAGGCTGGTGATCTAGCACTTGAGCTATATCTCTACTTCTGATTTTTGCTGGTTAATTGAAGATAAGAGTCTCTCAGATTTGTCTGCCTGTGCTTGCTTCAAACTGAGATCCTCAGATTTCATCCTCCTGAGTAGCTAGGATTACAAGCATGAGCCACCAGCACTTAGTTCCTCCTGTGTACTTTAAATCGTTCCTAGATTGCTCATGATACCTAATGCAATCTAAATAACTGTTACAGTGTAGTGTGTAGGGAAGAAGTGTGTAAATATTCACTACACACACATTACTCTCCTCACCAATTTTTATCTTCAATGGATTGAACTCATGGATGGGGAACTCATGGATATGAAGAGCTGACTATTTGAAACTATCATATCAGTATAAGATCATTTTCATCCTGAGCTATGTCCTTTATACATGACTAAACTATTTAGTAGGCTAAAGAAGGTTGAAGAGGGGCTGGGAAGGTGGCTCAGTGGTAGAGCGCTCGCCTTGCATGCCTGAGGCCCTGAGTTCGATTCCTCAGCACCACATGAGCAAAAAGAATAAAGCCGGAAGTGGCGCTGTGGCTCGAGTGGTAGAGTGCTAGCCTTGAGCTGAAGAGCTGAGGGACAGCGCCCAGGCCCAGAGTTCAGGCCCCACGACTGGACCCCCCAAAAAAAAAAAGAAGGTTGAAGAAAGGAGAGGATAAAATACCTTCAGGATTTATCCCTCCCACCCACAAATGTGTGGTTGTGATAACTAACTGGGTGTTAATTATATATTAAGCTAAGCCTAAACATAAGACATAGAAGCAAAATAAGATGCTTTTTTCCCCCTTTACAGAACATACAGTCCAGTTTGCTGGAAATACTATATCGAAACCGATCAAATCTGGAGACGATTTTTAGGATAATAGACAGCGATCATTCAGGTACTGCACTAATGTTCTATCCCCTTTGATGGACAACAAATCTTTCCCTTGAATACTTTAGTACCTTCCCTGTTCATCCTGACTTTTCTCTCCTCAAGCAGTTATGTGAACCAAGTAAATAGTATCACAGATTATAAATGGCAGACACTAGAAAAGTACGTGAGTGATATAAAACCTATGTCGCAACTCAAGAGGTGAGTCAAGAGGATTGCTTAAGCCCAGAAGGTCAGAGTCAGCATGCTGGGACTCAAAACATACAAATACCATTTAGAAAGAGCTTCCTACGGGAAGAATAATTATTAAAAGATGTGATATCCATTATAGTTCCATTAAAGATTGTCGCAAAGTTCCAAGTGCCATTTGCTCATGCACCCTAGCTACTCAGGAGGCTGAGGATTGAGGATTTCAGTTTAAGGCCAGCCTTGGCAGGAAAGTCCATGAGAGTCTTAACTCCAATTCTCACTGCCAAAAAGCTGGAAATGGAGCAAGGGCTAAGGAATAGAGCGCTAGCATTGAGCAAAAAAGCTCAGAGATAGCTCCCAGGCCCTGAGTTTGTGACAGTCCCTAGGACTATCACAAAAATAGAAAGACAGCCAGACAGAAAGAAAGAAAGACAGAAAGAAAGAAAGAAAGAAAGAAAGAAAGAAAGAAAGAAAGAAAGAAAGAAAGAAAGAAAGAAAGAAAGAAAGAAGGAAAGCAGGAAGGAAAGAGAGAAAGAAAGGAAGAAAGAGAGAGAGAGAAGGAAGGAAGGAAGGATGGAAGAAGAGAGAGAGAGAGACAGACAGAGATAGAGAGAGACAGACAGACAGAGAGAGAGACAGAGACAGAGAGAGAGAGAGAAAAGGCCTGTCACACTAAGTAATAAAAAATGCTAGAATAGGGCTGGGAATGTGGCTTAGTGGTACAGTGCTTGCCTAGCATGCATGAAGCCCTGGTTCGATTCCTCAGTACCACATAAACAGAAAAAGCCAAATGTGGCACAGTGGCTCAAGTAGTAGAGCAAAAGAAGCTCAGGGACAGTGTCCAGGCCCTGTTCAAGCCCCATGACTGGCAAAAAAAAAAATGCTAGAATAGAAAGGCTTTTGGTAAACTCACTTCCTAAAGTATTTTTTAACCTTTTTTTTTTTTGGTGGTATTGAGGTTTGAGCCAAAGACTTTATGCTTGCTTAGCATGAGCTCTACTGCTGAGCTAAACCTCCAGCTCTAAAACTTGCAATTTTGAAATCATTAGAGATTTGTAGGAGGTTACAAAACTTGCAGGAAGTTCTTATACACCCTCTTACTGTTGCCTTTTACACTGTGGTTCAAAGACTTTTTATGAATAATTTTTTTTTGTGGGTCATGAGTCTTGAACTCTGGGCCTGGGTGCCATCCCTGAGCTCTTCAGCTCAAGGCAAGCACTCTACCACTTGAGTCATAGCATCACTTCCAGTTTTCTGGTGGTTAATTGGAGATAAGAGTCTCACAGACTTTGCTGACCAGGCTGGCTATGAACTGTGATCCTCAGCCTTCTTTTTTTTTTTTTTTGCCTGTCATGGGGTCTGACCTCTGGGACTGGGCACTGTCCCTCAGCTCTTCAGCTCAAGACTAGCCCTCTACCACGAGAGCCACTTCCGACTTTTTCTGCTTATGTGGTGCTGAGGAATCGTACCCAGGGCCTCATGCATGCAAGGCATGCACTCTACCACTCTTCCCAGCCCTGATCTTCAGCCTTCTGAGGATAGCAGGTGTGATCCACTGGTGCCCAGTCCCAAGACTACTTTTTAAAAGTATAGCATATAATTCATGTATTTGAAGTACACATTTCAGTGGTTTCTAATATGTTCAGAAGATTATATCACCATCAACAGTAATTAGTTTTACAACTTCATGACCTCCAGAAGAAGCCCCATATTCATTAACAATCCCCCCATTCCCAATCCTTCCCCATGAGCATACCTGCTCAACTTTCTTGCATATAGCTGGAGCTCTATCCCTTGAACTACACTTCCAGTATAGCATTTTGCTGGTTAGTTGGAGATGGAGTCTCACAGACTACTCTGATTGGGCTTTTTGAACGATGATCTTCCATATGTCAGCCTCCTGCGTGGTTAGGATTATAAGCATGAGCCACCAGTACCTGGCTTAAAACACGTTTTATAAATGAGGATGTTTGAATGCAGGGCTTCTCTGTAATGGCACTATTGGCATTTGGACCAGATAATTCATTTTTAAAAGTTCTTATGCATCAGCATGTTTTGCAGTATCCTTGTCCTGTACTACTTCACTCTCACAATGAGAAATGTCTCAGGATACCTCCAAATTGCTCCCAGCTGAGAACCACTGGTGAATATCTTCATGAGAACCTCTCATGGATCAGTGATTTCCTGTGGCCCTCAGGGAGTTTACACTAGCTACAAGACCACAGGGATCTGTGTGCTTACTAGGGAGGGAGCAGGTGCCCTTGTAAAATGTCAGAATGCTGAAAGCTGGGCATCTTCACTGATGTGACCTCTCCCCGGCCCTCTGTAAGGATTCATCTCCCTAGATGAGTTCAGACAGACGTGGAAGCTGTTCAGCTCCCACATGAACGTCGACATCCCAGATGACTGCATCTGCGACCTTGCCCGGAGCATCGATTTCAACAAGGACGGCCACATCGACATTAATGAGTTCCTGGAAGCTTTCCGCCTTGTGGAGCAATCCCGCTCTGAGGGCAGCGCCTCAGACTGCCCACTGTCCTCAGACAGGGATGACAGTGACCGCAGCTGTCCAAATGCATGCTGAGAATGGCCCAGTCTTCATTGCTTACCGTGCCTCCTAGGTCATGCCCAGCTTATTGTTCTGCAAAGATGTGGAACTCCATCCTGAGAATTGGCCTGCCAGCATGCATCAGAATCACCTCCGTATTTGGGTATGGTGGGTCTGTGTGTGTGTGTGTGTGTGTGTGTGTGTGTGTGTGATTACTCTAGCTCCATTTCAGAATCTTCACAAAATAGAACTCAGGTACATTTTCGTGTGTGCATGCCAGTACTGGGACTTGAGCTGAGGCCTGAGCACAGTCCCTTAGATTTTTCACTCAAGGCTAGTGTTCTACCAGTTGAGCCACTCTTCCACTTCCACCTTTTTGCTGGTTAATTGGAGATAAGAGGGCTGGGAAGGTGGCTCAGTGGTAGAGCGCTTGCCTTGCATGCCTGAGGCCCTGGGTTCGATTCCTCAGCACCACATAAGCAAAAAGAAAAAAAGCTGGAAGTGGCGCTGTGGCTCAAGTGGTAGAGTGCTAGCCTTGAGCTGAAGAGCTGAGGGACAGCGCCCAGGCCCAGAGTTCAAGCCCCACGACCGGACCCCCCCAAAAAAAATTGGAGATAAGATTCTCATGAACTTTCCTATTTAGGCTGACTTCAAATCCCAGTTCTTAGACCTCAGCCTCTTGAGTAGCTAGATAATTAAACACCAATGCCCTACCAATATTTTTTAAATTCTGGTGGGTTCTAGTTTTTAAAACTACTGATAATTCAAGCTTTTTGTTGTTTTTATTTTATGTCTTTGATTTATTTTTTGAAATATGGCATGCTGGTAAAAGGAAGTTTTAAAAAAAAATCATAAGTAAGCCGGTCATTGAGGGCTCATACCTGTAATCCTAGCTCCTCAGGAGGCTGAGATCTGAGGATCACAGTTCAAAGCCAGCCAGGCAGGAAAGTACCTGAGACTCTTTTTTTTTGTTTTGTTTTGTTTTGTTTTTGGGTCCGGTCGTGGGGCCTGAACTCTGGGCCTGGGCACTGTCCCTCAGCTCTTCAGCTCAAGGCTAGCACTCTACCACTTGAGCCACAGCACCACTTCTGGCTTTTTTCTTTTTGCTTATGTGGTGCTGAGGAATCGAACCCAGGGCCTCAGGCATGCAAGGCAAGCACTCTACCACTGAGCCAACTTCCCAGCCCCAGTACCTGAGACTCTTATCTCCAATAAACCACCAGAAAACTTGAGCTGTGGCTCAAGAGGTAGAGTGCCAGCCTTGAGCTGAAGAGCTGAGGGACAACACCCAGACCCCAGAGCTCAAGTCCCATGACAGAAAAGAAAAAAATCATATATAATTTTATAATACATTATTTACAGTGTAGCACTTGTTGTAATTATACGCTTGTATAATTTAATGCTCTTGTTTAAATAAATTGATATCCGTTTCTGAGTGTTTTCCCATGTTGCTAGTATTCACAATTATTCATTTAATGCCTGGGTAATTTTCTTTCAAATAGATGCACCATAATCCATTCAGCTTCCCAGTTGCTAAACATGTGTGTTGTTTCCAGTTTTCGTTATTGTAAATAACACTATGGTTAGTAACCATGTATACAACTTAGGATTTGTTTGTTTGGCAATACTGCGACTGCTTCACACTTGCTAGCCAGGCAGGCATTCTACTACTTGAGCCTCACCTCCAACCCTTATAGCTCTGGTTATTTTTGAGTTGGGGATTTTGCATTTTCAAACTCTTGTGTCTACCTGGACTGTGATCCTCTTATTTACACTTCTCATTGTAGCTTCAATAACAGCCACATGTCACCATGCCCAGCTTTTCTGTTCAGAGGTCTTTTAAACTTTTTTGCCCAGGCTAGCTTTAAATGTCAATCCTCCTGATTTCTGCCTCCCAAGAAGATAGGAATATAGGCGTTAGACACTAACCCTTGATATATATAAAAATCTCAGGGGTACTGTCACGGGGTACTGTATGAGTCTGGGTTATCCAGAGAAACAGAGCAATAGGCAATATAGTAAACACAGATAGGAGTCAGTTTTACGCTAAGGAATTGACTTGTGTGGTTATGGAAACTAAGAAGATATTTTCAGTCATCAAGTGGCAGAATCAGGAGAGCCAGGCCAAGTCATAAAGCCTGAGAACAAGGTGGGCCAGTGGTCTAAGGTCAGCTCCCATGTCTGAGTAGAAGGAAGGCCTGTAGCCTAGCTCAGAGTCAGTCAGCAACAGATCCCAAGAGGCCTAAAAACCTCAGAAAGGACAATCTGCTTTACTTAGTCTACTGATTCTAATGTTCATCGTTTCTAGAAACAATCTCAGAGACATACTTACAAGTAGTTTAACCAAATATCGGGGCACCTGGTGACCCAGTCAAGTTCACATTTAAAGTGTGACCTTTTTATGGCTCCATAGATACTGCCAGATTGCTTTTCAAGACCAAGCATATCAATTTTGCTATGAACTCACAACTTTGGGATCATTTCTGAATCTGCTAAAGATACTTCCAAGTGTGTTCATAGTATTTTAATAGGTATTTCATTGATCAGTATCCAAAAGTCTCTCCACTACCTCGTTTTATTTGTAAGCTAGAGAAAAATGAGGTATAAAGAACTTGCAGACTATGTGGCACTATTATTTTGCAGCCGTGCTAGGGTCCTGTGGTTTGCTTCAATTGTATTTGATGAATGGATTGAATAAATTAGTTTTCTTCCCACCATATGGAATACTATGCAGCCATTTAGAAGAATGGTCTACCACTAGTTGTAGATATATGCTTAGCCTTGGGGTTGAGGTAAGACTTTTACTTTCTATTCAAAAAATGCATCAAATTGAGTGAAATTTTGTAAACAATTCTAATCAACAAGGATAATAATCTTCAGTATCTTTAGAAGTTTCTCTTGTGATCATTAGTTACTTTTATAAGGAAAAAAGCAATAAAAACACATATTTAAAAACTAAGCCAGGGCTTAGTGGCTCAGTGGTAGAGCGCTTGCCTTGCATGCCTGAGGCCCTAGGTTCGATTCCTCAGCACCATATAAGCAGAAAAAAAAGCCGGAAGTGGTGCTGTGGCTCAAGTGGTAGAGCGCTAGCCTTGAGCTGAAGAGCTGAGAGACAGCGCCCAGGCCCAGAGTTCAGGCCCCACGGCCGGACCCCCCCCCCCAAAAAAAAATAAAAACTAAGCCAGTTTGATATTACACACACACATACACATACACACACACACAGTCACTAACCTTCAGTAAAAATGCCATTTAGAAGCCACTAGATGTCACTCTATGTCTTACAATGGTGGCTAGAAGGTACAAGTACCTAGAAACTGATTTTGTAGGGTCACAGGAAAACATTAACTTCTGGGGAAGAGACCCTTAGAACACCTACCTGTGCTACCACCAAGTGGCATGAATCAAGAAAAGGAGCAGTACAGCTGAAAGTGGTAGCTCAGATGTGTGATTCCACATGCTTGGAAGGCAGAGGTGGAAACTCCAGTTCAAAGCCAGCTCAGGCAAAAAAAAAATGGTGACACCTTTCCTCTACATCTCAACAAATTCAGTTGTAATCAGTCCCTCTAATCCTAGCTACAGGAGGGCTGGGTGGGAGAATTGCTGACTGGGGCTGGTCTTAGACAAAAAAAAAAATGTAAGACTCTATCTGAAAAACATCTGCTAAAGCTGAAGTGGTAGAACATATATATTTATGCAAGGCCTTGAATTCAAGAAAGACCCAATACCACCAAACACACACACACACACATACACACACACACACACACACTCACCACCAATATGAGATAGAGGCAAGAACATCTAACTTATCTCAGAAAGTCTAACCCTGGACCAGAATTAGAAAAGAGATCCTTCCAGCAGACCCATAGCACAACATATTCATGCCATTCAGGTCACTTCTTAATTCAACGTCATGAGTTTACCACATTAATTGCCTAATCTTGATCCTCAGTTTTGTTTCTAAAATTTCTTCCTTCATGTTGCACTTTTCTAGTACCTAGGCTCAAGCAGTAGAGCGCTAGCCTTGAGCTCAAGAGCAGAGAGACAGCAACCAGGCCCAGAGTTCAGGTCCCATGACTCACACACACACACACACACATACACACACACACACACAAATATATTTATTATCTTATTTATGTAACTGTAACCCCCTGTTCATCATCTTTGCAATACAGATATAAAAAAGGAAAAATAAAATACATGCATAAACATGTAAATAAATACATAAATAAAACCCAAATCTAATCCAGTTTCTGGATCTCCTTAAATTATAAAAGTAATGTAGCCCAAAGCCATGTGTTAAATAATATCAGGATGTTCCAGACACTACAAGACAGACTTGGGGGACACAATGGGACAAATGAATTGGTTTCTTCAACAAATGAATTACAAGGAAATAAGCAAAAAGAGAGGAAACAAAAAATACAGATTAAAAAAAGGCTTAAGCCAAGTGCAGGTGGTTCACACCGGTAATCCTAGCTACTCAGTATCTTGGAACCTGGAGGATAAAGGTGTAAACAAAACAGTACAGCAGAAAAGCCTGCGAGATACCATCTCAAATTAACCAGCAAAATGCTGAACTAGAGGTATGGCTCAAGTGGTTGATCACCAGCCATGATCACAAACAAGCCCTGCAAGTACAAGGCTGGGTTCAAGATCTAGTATGACTAATTTTTTTGTTTTTTGTTTTTTTTGTTTTTTGTTTTGGCAGGTCCTAGGGCCTGAACTCTCGGTCTGGGTGCTGACCCTCAGCTCTTCAGCTCAAGGCTAGTGCTCTACCACTCAAATCATAGCGCCACTTCCGGCTTTTTTCTTTTTGCTTATGTGGTGTTGAGGAATCGAACCCAGGGCCTCATGCATACAAGGCAAGCACTCTACCACTGAGCCACCTTCCCAGCCCTAGTATGACTAATTTTAACATATGGGACTTATGTAGATCTCTAATCAGAGAAGCAGTTGTTTTCTTTTTTTCTTTTTCTTTTTTTTGGTCAGTCATGAGGCTTGAACTCTGGGCCTGGGTGCTATCCCTC